CAAGATCTTCATTCGAGAATTTCTCCACATCCTCTTTCTTGCCAGAGAAGTAAAGCAAGGTATCATCCGCAAATAATTTCAGCTTACAATTCTGGACCTCTGGACGTGATGTATAATGTCATTTATGAATAAAATATTTAATATTGGTCCCAGTACCTTTCTTTGTGGTACTCCATTCATGACCTTTTCCCTATTTGAGTAAGTGTTATTGTATTTAACAAGCTGTTCTCTATTTTGTAGATAGCTCTGAAACCATTCGAAAACCTTTCCGCCTATTCCATATGTGTTCAATTCTTCAAAAGTAAATTTCTATTTATAGTTTCAAATGCCCTCTGTAAGTCCAAGAAAACCACCCCGATGATTTTCTTATCATGAATATCAACTTTCCATTTGGATATCAAAAACTGAAGAGCCGTTTCACATGCACGAGTGACATTTCCTAAAACCTGATTGTTGTTCGATAAGTATTTCATTTGAACTGATGAACTCAAGAAGTTGATTTTTGACGGCAAACTCCAACAATTTTTCAATTATTGGTAATGTATTGATTGGGCGATGTTCAGCTGCAAATTGTGTATTAGGTACTTTTGGAATCGGAATCACTGTAGATATTTTCCATACATCAGGAAAAACCCCAGTATTCAAAGATGAATTTATTGTATCAAGAAATCTATTCCCAATGATGTCAAAAGCTAGTTTGATTATGGTACGATTGATTCTATCTTTGTCACACGAGTTCTTTCTCAACGATGAAACAATTTTTTTAATTCCTGCATAGAGATGTTTTTAAATGAAAGAAATTTATTTACAAATTCAGGAATCTTTCTTATTGTATCATCGAAATCGTTTACTGGGGGGGTGATGTTTTCAACAATATTATTCAAGCTATTGATAAAAAATGAATTGAATCCGTTTGAAATTTCATCGTCGGAATTCACGTTTTTCCCTTCAAATATAATTCGTTTTCTACTTTGATTTCTTCTTCCACCTACCAATTCTTTTAGTGATTTTCACATTGCTCTGGGATCATGTTTATTTTCATCCATTTTTTCTTCATAGTATTTTCTAGTTTCATGTCTGATCAAAGTGGTTACACGATTTCTGACTATTTTATACTCGTCCCAAAGAGATACGGATTTAGTTGCCTTTGATGCTTGTTTATGTAATCTGTCCCTATTGTGTGGCTCAGTTTTAGAAATATCTTGAGTGAAAGATAGATTGCCGTTTCGTAGACGTATAGTTAGTTATTACTAGTTATTAAGTAACAATAAAAGTTCAATTGCGCTAATAATACGTATGATTGCATCATATATTACAGGCATACAGGCATTGTCATTTTTTTTAATTTGCATATGTTCATGACTCAGTTCTGTGCCATATTTTATCACGACTCTAACTGTATTCAGAATGACAATAATATCATCGATAATTTTAGTATTTCAATTTTATTTCAGTAGTTCTATAGATCAATGTCAACATTTTGAACATTAGGTACTCCTCTATGCAATTTTGATCGCTACTGAAATTTGTTTTTCTATTTCAATTTTGAACATCATTTTCTCTTCGCCAAATATGTAGAGAACGTGTTTGAATAGCTCACAAAAATAAAATAAAAAAAATTGGATTTATATATGGACATTTAAATAGTCCTGTCTGTGAGACGTATGGTTAGTGACAACGTTATAAATTTGGAACGTTAGTATAGTTAAGGGGCATGCTTTCAATCCATTTGGATATAGAAAACAGATAGATTTGATTGATATGGCCAATTGAAGGTACCTATCATATCACATATATGGAATGTTCATTTTGAGAGAAAGTGAATGCCTGATATTTATCAAAAGCAAAAACGTAAAGAAATGTTGATGCACTTATTATCGGCATCCCCAAATAAAAGCCGCATGTTCCAGTTTTCGGCTCATGGTAATATCCTATTATCGGCACCGATTTATCTTTCATTTTACCTTTGCTGAATATAGCAAAGTCTTTTGGATAATGGCTCAGCTACATCTTCCTCCTCATAATCAAGAGATGGCTCGAAGATAACATCATATTGATGAAAACCTAATCTGAACTCTATTTTATGTCCATGATGACCTATTTTGTACACCTTATCCTTCACAATTGCATAACCATCTATGTGAAAATAAGGTGGTTATAAGTTATACTGTACACTTCTTAGTTACTTTCATCAATAAAATATTTGAAATAAATGACTTTTTATCACGTATTACTTTTTATCAGCCTACTTTTCGTCCTAGACGAAGTTTCATACATAGTGTGATAATAGTCACTCCATAAATTCTTCTCCGAGTTGGATTTCCGAAAATATATTTAGCACACATGACATGAGTACAGTAGTCTAGATCGAAGTTTTCATCATTTCTCAATCATAAGGCTCAGCTCATTCAGCTCATAGATAAACCACTGCTCTGCTTGGAATCAGAATTCTAAGAACAGTCTCTTTTGGTGAAATATATCAAGCTTTCCAGTACAATTTATATGTTCCCTACCTCGCATTATGCTGGAGTAGTAAACTCTGAAACTAGAGGATTGTTATTCATCTATATCTTTGCTATAGTTGAATTAGGAATTAAATATGGAAATTACGTATGGTACGCCATTACGCCAATGACCTGTTCACAAGTGATCGAAATAGTTTTCCACAATAATTTTGGCATATGAATCGTATTTTTCCGCTATTCATCAATTCGCTAATGCCATCACATTGTGCTGTTGTAAAATGCACAAAAACTGCAGCGGAAGATGAAGAAATCCGGATGGTACATTATGATTCAAAAGTAAGTACCTACTATAGTCACTCACATAGTTTTCATTTTTGAAATTTGGTTATTTCTCTGATTTCTCATCGGAATTCCTTCTGCAATAGGATCAGCAAATAGAAATATACCTGAAATTTCTAGAATAGTGCAACAAGATTGGATTCTTGCAATCAATCGGTAGGACTGGTCTGACATGCTGACGATCGTGTGTGTTGTAGACATTTTCAATCTATTAGCAGCATTAGCTTGTATTGCAGAAGTGGCAGAAGGCAGAAGGAATTTTAATAAGGAATGACAACATTTCATAATGCTAACTATTTTCCCTAGTCTCTTGCTGCATTTTTTGTGCATTGTACAACAGCACAATGCGAAGGCATGCTTGAATTAATGAATAACGCAAGAAACACGATTCGTATGCCAAAATATTGTGAAAAACTATTTCAACCTTTTGATTCCTCTGTAACCAAATAAAAAAGTGAGGTTGTATTTTATTAATTCACAGAAGAATGAGGTTGTGTTTCAATATTTTGCCTCCAGGGTCGGTCTTCGTGCACGCGACCTATTGAATAAGGATGGGACTATATAAATGTTTCACAAACAGTGAAATGAGAGTTGACGAGGATCTGTCCGTACCCTGTTAAGATGACAAATACGTCAGATTGCATCAAGGGACCCTAGGTATACCCATGATACCTACCTACCGAATCTCGCATCAGAACAGTGTATTCGGATTAAATAGGTATAGGTATACGCAGGTATATGTACCAATACCAAAGAAGGGAAGAATTGTATTTCGTGCAAGATAATTTATTCAATATTCGTAACAGAGCGCTTTCGACTGTTAAGTCATCATCAGTGCATACTCGTCAGGTTAACAGGGAAATTTGTCCATAAAATATGTACCAATACCTACTTATATAACTGCTTTTTTAATGTGAAGTACAGTCAGATGCAATAAGAGGATGTCGCATATGGCCGGTGATAACACCATCCGCGATATGCGACATGTTCTTTGTATCTGACTGTACCTGCCTACCCTACAACTGAAAAGTAGAGTTCTGAAAACCATCAGTGACTCAATTCCAGTTTTTTTTTTTTCAGGAGCGAGAGGGAGTGCAAGTTTTTCGAAGAAAAGATATGATTGAAAGGCAAAAATGTTCTTCGAGATTACTTCTTCGAGATGAATTAGTTCGTGAATTTAACCCGAAATAGGGTTGGTGGCGACATCTCCAAACTCATCTCCAAACCTACGCTCTCAGACCACGACACGCCAGAAGAAATGCACATAAAACTTTGCCATCTCATACGCAGAGGGCTGTAGAGGCTAATACTTTTTTTTCGAACCAGAGATTATACACTCTGTTCGAACTGAGATAAAATATTGTGGAGGCGTTCACTGTTGAATCTGATAGTTATTCGCTATTTCATTGATGTTGTTTTGGATTGAGCTCTCATTGACAAAGTTTGATGCCAAAATGAAGCCAACATCGTCTACAACCCTGTCCCGAGACATCATGTTGTTAAAAAATAACGAGTCTCTCGCCAGTCACGAAACCATGTAGTTGCTGTACTGGCTGTACTACGGAAGCCTATGGTAACTTATCTCTGCTGGGCGTGTTTTTCATTCCATCGAAGAAAGTGCGCACTGATAGATGCGGTTTTTTGTCGTGACGTCACCAATTGTTCTGTTGGAATTTTTGCAGGAAGGATTGAACAATGGTTTATACAACACATTGATGGAAACACGGATTTTGTTGTGTGTCAGTCATCATGTATCTTGAGAATCAGAAAAGGCTAATTCGACTTTATCGATTAACACTGACTCTTTCTTCTAATATCTCTCAAGAATCTCAAAAATCCTCAATATTAATTGTTTTCTATCAAATCAAAACAAAAAACAACACTAAAATGTGTCAACTGTCATGTCAATCTCCTCCAAACTGCTGGATTCTCGAAATGCGATTTAAAAGTGCGCATTTTATTACAACAGTTTGATGGATGTTCATCAACATTCCAGCGGAATTTTGCAACAGTTTGATGGTTTCTTCGATTCATGCGCATGATAAAATGTTGGAATGGAAAACGCACCCAAAAAACTAGTTTCACAACTGGCGAGACTCCTTATATGACAAGCCGCGTTGACATTGACAATGTAACTGACTCACTTAACAGTTGACAGCAACGATGACATTGACAGTGTTGACACTGCATTTTTCGAAATGTCGAATAAAAATTATGAAAAACAATGACTGAAAAAATAGGATAATGTTTATGTGCCAAAATATTTTATGAATACCAGACTTAACTTAACTGTCGTGAGCTGCTAAGCCCTATAGACCATGAACGATAATAACAGGACCCACAACAGTGAAGCTATGGAAAAAATAATCACAAATATGACGGCTGAAAATATCGACGGCCAGTATGTTCCTTTGGGCATTCCGCATCCGACCCCTTCAGAACCACTAAACTGGGCCCAACCGCCCTATGTTAACCAGTTCAACTCGGGCGTGGAACAGTATCCCCCACAACCCTTTAATTTCATTCCTCACATGTTTGAACCAAATGGCTACAAGAAGACCTTCAACAACCTCCCAGAAGCGGATATGTACTCAATGCAACATAATGGAGCTGCAGATGTTGGTTTGTTTGATAGAGATTATAATTATATTCCAAATATACCACATGTGCTGAATAATGTCTCTGATCATCCTCTAATGCATCCTCAGGAAACTGTAAGAAAAAATCCTAATCACACCCAACTTATTGATCATTTAGTTGGAAACTGGATGGTTCCTAATAACAGTGGGACTTACTCCCCATTTGGAAGTCCAGAAAGCTACAAACCAAATGTTTTTGATTTGTCTGAACTGTCAAATGCAAATGTTATTCATCAAATGAGTGATGACCCCAAGTACAAGAATGAAGTTACTTTGGAAGATGTTCAGTTTCAATTCAATCGTGATACCAGGAAACCTCGCATTGTAGCAGAGGTAAAACCAATGCGCCCTAGTTATTCTGATGTATTAACTAAACCTGTTCCCCAACAATCAGTGAAGCCACTGAAATCAGATACTAAAGAATCGAAAGTGAAGAAGGAAGGTAAGAAAAACACAAAGAATGACAAGAATCAGAAAGTATGTGTCAACATTAATAGAAGTAACACAAATAATGATATTAAAGATCTACCTACAGAAAAAGTTAACCATCAAGCTAAAATGGAGAAGAAGTGTAATGGCAAAGACAGTCAGCTAAACAGAAAGTGGGCATCTCTAGATAATATTACAGATCCTCAGACAAAACTAGATGACTCAAAAAAGAAGAAATCTGAAGATACTAAAACTTGCAGCAAGAATAATTTCAAAAAATGCAATAAGACTGTCAATGATATCATTGATGATGAATCAGAAGGTGTGAAAAATGAATCTTTCAGTGTCACTAAGAATGGTGTGAAGAAAATCAATAAGCCTAGTGTCAGGCCCAAATTGAATGATTCCTTTGGGACCAGTGATAGGCCTCCTGGTAAGAGAAATCAAAGAACAAGAAAGAGAGAAACTCATGTTCCTTTTGGTGAGTAGAAAGAAATACTCTTCTTGTCAACCTGATTATGATTATTTATTGTCCTATATTGAAACAGTTTGGTGTATGATTAAATTTGGTCATATAGTTTTTGGGTTCTCAATGAAAATGCATAATTTGTAACAATCTATATAGACTTCATAAAGTTAACAGAGTACACAATAGTTCTCAATCACTAGATGAATGTAATTTAGGAGAAATAATTATCTTATGGATTTAAATTTTGGGATGGTTTCAGAATTGAATAAACTAAGGATGTACTTGATAAAAATTGAAACAGAAAAATCCAAGGGAAAATCTCACCTTAGTTATAATGTTACCCCAAGTAGGTAATTTTTGCACACAAAAATTAGAAAATATAATCATCCCTATGGTTTTCATCATTGATATTTTTTTCAGTTAATAATAATTGAACAAAAAATTTAATTTCACCATCTGCTTTGAGATGAGTATAAGATTATATATTTATTTATTTATTTATTCATTTATTTATTTATTTATTTATTTATTTATTCATTCATTTATTTATTTAATAACGGGATTTAACTTTACAATAGAAATTTAATTACCTGAATAGTACATATTTTGATATGTTTTTTCAATTTCTTGCTACTGTAATGGATTTGATTCTTATTTGGAACCATTATTATTTTCAGGCATATTTGGACAAAAGCTGAAACAGTATACAAAGGGCTGGTGGAAGATTTTGACAGGATTCTTGATGTGGCTGTTCCTTTTGATCTCTGATATATGTCTGTTAAGCTTAAACATTAGCCGTGATATGTAAGTATGTGAAAATCTGATATCCATGAAAAAGTTATAATAACCCATTGAAAAATACTCTGTTTCAAGTTGTGAATAGCCAGGTGAATAGTAAAGGCTTCCTATCATAGGTTGCTGATATCTTAGGTGGTAATGAAAATGAGAAATAACAAAATTCCATTTGGTGTCTACTAAATAGAAGCATGTTTCAATACCTACATTATTGAAAACAATTGATTAATAATGGCTTTCCACAAAAATTGGGTGAGGTTAACATATCCATGTGTTATTTTTTAGCAATTATTGAAAGCATGTTTTTTTTTAGTTTTATTCAATATATATATTGAATTTATTCTATTTTTTTACATTCGGAGAAGGTAAAAACAAAATTGACATGGCATCACTGCTTAATGTTTTATAAAGGTTAAGTCCTTCATGTTTTTTTTTGTATTTCTATCTGGCTGATCATGCTTAGAATTCATCTAGTCCTGAAAACATTTCATGATCTCCAATCAACCTCCATCAATGTTTATTGCAGTAGATCACTCTGGATCAGGTCAGTGAAATATTCTATGTCATCTGATTCAGCCTCAATCATATTATCTGAAGTTGATAACAATAGAGTTCCTTAATGTTCTTGGCACTGCTGTTTTTCATATTCAGAGTATGGACACTGTGGCAAGCATTGACAGTAGGACATAACCACAAATAAATTGATGGGAAAAGCGGGAACTGATAGTGCAGGAACGAACATGACATTAATTTCAAAAGTTTGTCAAATTGAAGAAATAGTGAAAAGTTTGTGGTTTGTCCAACTGTCAAAATACTGAAAATCATGTGAAATATAGTCACTTTGTGGAACTCTGAATGTATCTATTGAAGAGATGGATTGTTTGTGAATCACTTTCTTCAAAGTTGAAATCCCAAGTCTGAACTTGTGTATAGTTGAGTGCAAGACCTCTACAACTTGGAGTGGATTTTGCAGAAATTCTGGGGTGCCAAAAGATGCTGACAGGACAAGAAGACCATTAATCGTTATGATTATTTGTGTATCACTTTCTTCAAAGTTGAAATCCCAAGTCTGAACTTGTGCATAGTTGAGTGCAAGACCTCTACATCTTGGAGTGGATTTTGAAGAAATTTAGGGGTGCCAAAAGATGCTGACAGGACAAGAACACCATGAATCGTTATGATTGTTTGTATATCACTTTCTTCAAAGTTGAAATCCCAAGTCTGAACTTGTGCATAGTTGAGTGCAAGACCTCTACAACTTGGAGTGGATTTGGAAGAAATTCTGAGGTGCCAAAAGATGCTGACAGGACAAGAACAACATTAATGGTTATAGAAAATGATCTTCTTCCGATGGCCGCCGGATACAAACCAACAATCCCTTTAGCAATTTGAACGGCGATCTATACTGAGTCCAGCACTATAAAGTCTGTACAGCCATATTATAGTTTCCTGTTTCGTGTGTCTTTATTATATATCTTAAGGGCGCGCATCACAGTGAAATAGTTCGCCCACAGACACCAGCGAAACTATAAACATATCACAGCCGTCTAGTGGCGCCATAATTATAGTTTCATGTATTATTTCTACAGAATCCTTAAGATACATTTAATTCAATCAATAGGGAACCTCATCAACAGATGTCGCTGAATAATATTTGTGGCTGTACCTCACAAAGTCACCTACAGGGTTGCCATTATTTTATCAGAGTACGTCGCCAAATCAGTAGTAGTAGTAATTCAAAAGTGGACTATGCATACAACGTTGATTCTTCGAAAAAGAATTCGAACTTCCAATTTCATTCAATTAATCGTCGAGAAAATGCATCATTTTGAATGAATATTCATGACACCAATCAAAGCTCTGAATTTAAAAATTCCGAAAACATTTCGAGAGAAATCAATCATGAGGATACCGGTGAGAAAAAAAATTAAAAAAATTATTTTACACCCATTCAATTATCACCCTGTAGCAATGTTATCTGAAATTGAGGAAGTTTCATATTGCCACAACAAACTGTCAAGAGATTAGGCTAGTCATCGGTGAAAACCGATTTCAAATTGGTTAAGTACCAAATTCTTGATTTCTCAATAAGTTTTTTGTGCTCAATTAATTCAGTAACGATTCTTCTCTCTTTATTTGCATCAGGGCTTCCATATCCTGGTGCTGGCTCCTCCGGCGCTGGTCGACGTGCGTCGAATCGACAGGCGCGGTACTCGGCCGCCTTCCCCTCCTCCGGTGGCTGTGCGGCAAGCTGCAGGGCCGCCCGCGGGACCCGTCAGCGGGGCGGGCGGAAGACGAGGGCGGACCGCGGTTCGCGCATCCCGGCCTGCCCAACAACATCAGCATGCCGACAACTGGCGACGAGGCGATGAAGCGGCTTCTGGCTTGCAAGGGGAAGGATCCGTACAGCATTTTGGGCGTGTCGCCCGCGTGTACGGATGAGGATATCAAGAGGTAAGGGGCGGACCGATGATGCGTTCTTGAGTGCGCCTAGAATTTCTTTTTTCTACAACCGACACAAAAGTCGTCCATTTCAATACCAAAGGTAGCTCTCGAATTGACGTTTCTATTACTGACACAAATTGGGTATTTTGCTAGGCAACATACCTATTTTTGTGTCAGTAATTGAAACGTCAATTCGAGAGCTAATTCTGAAATGAGAACATGATTAACATAGGAGGTATTTCATGAGAATCATCCATATCTCAAAAGTGGTCCAATGTAATTTCAAAAGAAAAATGAAAGAAAACAGCACAAAGTCGGTCGACCACACTTTAAGTGTGTGTGGTCGGCCGACTTTGTGCTGTTTTATTTCATTTTTCTTTTGATAGGAGCTATATAAAAATAGGTATGTTGCTAGGCAACACATTTAGTTCCTAGGAGTTGAAGTTGAACTGGAAACTATGTACTAGACGTCATCAAGAATAAACAACATTGTTATGATAAACCTAGAATGTCAAGACTAAGAGATTCTAGGGAAATTTCGTGAATCGATTTTCAGCTGATGCAAGACAGACTGTTTCGACTTGCCATAAGTCGCATCAGTTGCACTGGCCTTCTGCCATTCGATTCACGAAGGGTACCTCCATATATTAAACAAGTCGAAGCCCTGAGGGAGCAGAAGGACGATCTAGCCTTCATAGCCATCTAGTGGCTTAAGTGCAAAGTTGTATAGGTAGATTAATCAATCATTCCTTGCGAGTAAGTCATGCATATAGACCCCTACGTCTGTATGCTTACAGAAAAGACACCATGTCAGAATTCTGTAGACTATCGCAACACCTGTATTTCTCAAAGTGGTTCAATGTTCCACTAACAGATGGTGATAAACCTAGAGTGTCAAGACTAAGAGATTCTAGGGAAATTTCGTGAATCGATTGTCAGCTGATGCAAGACAGACTGTTTTGACTTGCCATAAGTCTCATCAATTGCACTGGCCAGCTGAAAATCGATTCACGAAGGGTACCTCCGTATATTAAACAAGTCGAAGCCTTGAGGGGGCAGAAGGACGATCTAACGTTCATAGCCATCTAGTGGCTTAAGTGCAAAGGTGTATAGGTAGATTTATCAATCATACCTTGTAACATTGTTATGGTGATATTGTTCACCTCTATTTGATCATCAAGTCAAACACAGTGTAGTATGGAGAGGAATAAATAATCGCTATTATTATTGTTGATATGCTCACTAACCTAACATTTTCCACGTCTTGTTCCTAAACCTGGCACTGTCGCGGTATTTGCCATTAGAGCACCTGGTCCATGAACAAATATATCACTCTCTAGTTGTATTCATATTGAAACTACAATTTGAACATCCTTTAAAATTGAATAAACCTGCTGTTAATGCATGTATTGTTTTCATATAATTTTTTTAATCTTAGATTTATTTTTATTTTTATTATTATTTCATTTTATTTATATCTATAGCTCTTTACGCCCAGTAAGCACAGTTTTTGTTTATTCCGCCAGTATAGGTATATCATATATATATGGAGAATATATGTGGAGAATATATATGGAGATAGGAGCCGGGATTGGCGCAGTGGAAGAGCGTCCTTCTCACGACCGCAAGGTCGTGGGTTCGATTTCCAGCACGGGCAAGGAACTTTTTTCAATATTTTATTTACGAATTAAATATTGTTTCGGAGCATCGGCTGGGGATAGTCCTGCACGATTCGCTGTTGCGTTCCAGTTAACAGTGCTGCTCCTAAAGTGGCGCATGGAGTTAGTAACAAAGCCTACACAGAACACGCAGAAAGATATGATGATGTGGTTGTGAGCATCAGAGAAGAAGTAGGACGGTGTATGTAGGTGGGCGTGGAAAACTACCAGCTGAGCGTGAGAGCGGGCCAGCTGCTTAAGTAGACCTCGTTCTCGGGGGTTAACGATGATAGTTAGCAGGCCTGCCACTGTGCATATGGTAGTGAGTACATTACTAGCCTACAAGACACAGCTGAAAAACTCTGAAAAGAGAGCTGATGGGCGGTGCCTGAAAAGGATGTTAGCCAGCTCTCTTGAGCGAACTACATCAGTCATTGAAAACATTTGGGGTTTGCAAAAAGGTCCCATTGGGGACTAGTTGCTGACGTGGAAACGTCCCCCACCAGTAGCAGTACCAGTATATGGAGATAGACCCAGAACCAGGATGTGTGCTTCCTTGGGGAGGTATGCTTCAGTATTCCAGGCAGAGGTGCATGCTATTGAGGCATGCCTGAGAGAGAATATTGTAAGAGGATATAGAGGTAAACAAATCCTCATATGCTCAGATAGTCAGGCGGCCATTCAATCTTTAACATGCAATAAAATCAGATCAAAACTGGTCTGGGATTGCCTTCAAAGCCTGCTAACCCTGGCTAACCACAACAAGGTAACTCTTCAATGGGTGCCAGGGCATAAGGGAATTGAAGGCAATGAAGCAGCTGACGCTCTTACCAGGCAAGGGTCTGCGACGTTGTTTATGGGACCGGAACCTGTATTCGGTATCCCCAAAACCTCAATACGAGGCTGGCTGGCAAGGTGGATGCAAGAAAGACATCAGGCATACTGGAACAATGTCCCAGGACAAAGACACAGTAAACTGATGGTTGGAACACTGTCCAAAACAGTGACTAACGACATTCTGAGCCTAAACAGAAGTCAGATCAAACAAGTGACGGGACTAATAACCGGTCACTGCCCCTTGAGGAAACATATGCATCAAATGGGCATCTATACAGACGAACCCATATGCAGACTATGCAATGAGGAGGAGGAAACTGCCACCCATGTAATATTGGAGTGCGAAGCACTAGCGCGTTGGAGATACAACCTTCTGGGAGCAGTAAACTCTCAAGAGGCATTTTCAAAGAATGATTTTGTGAAGAGGCTGCTAAACCTCATCAAGGTAGCGAACCTGTTCACCTAAGTCAACAGCATGATCAGGAATACAATAGGCCTAAAGGCTGCAGTGTTTTGGGCTTCAAACCCTGACTGATCATTCTGCTATTAATCAATTAATCAATAGGTATATCATGATCGCGTAATCCCTGTCAACAGCGGATGACATAACTGTCAAGAATTATAATTCAGACTGTTTGTCCAAACTTTTTTAATGTACTATATGGCAATAGGTGAAGTATATAGTCATGGCAAACTTTGTATTGCATTCAACATTATTTCTAAAAAATATTTTTTCAGTTAAATATGTATCAACACACTTTTTCTATTTTATTTTCTACTTCTATTTAGTTTGGCTATCCATAAAAGCGTGTTTCTGTAGTTTTTCAAACTTCTATATATTATTTTCTAGATCCTTCGAATCCATTGGAATGCAAAAAACGCATACCTACCTACCACCAAAAGGATTCCGTCTCGGATTCTGTCTATAGATATATTCCATACAATTATTATTATCTATCGAATCAGTATTTCATTCATTTTTTTCAAAATGGTATGGAAAATGTAAAATGTCTTATAAATCTTGGAGTAATTTTCGCTTTCCTCACCTATTCTAATTCCAATTCTGCAAATGTTCATTCTCCTTAAACCAACGATGCTGCATTGATTAGGTATTTTTGGACATATAATTCTCTAACTAACCGCCTGAGAGATTTTTTTCTCTTGCATAACCCTCCAAAGACTGACGGTGATTCGTTCTGTCTATCTTCTTTTCACAGCTTTGACTCAGTTTGATCTCAACTCTTCTATACATTATTTTCTAGATTCTTTGAATTCATCAGAAAGCAAAAAACGCATACCTAACCAAACATCAAAAGGATTTCATCTTGGATTCCATTTATATATTCCATTCACTTATTATTATCTAGGACATTCCTCTGTGGAATGAGTAGATCAGTATTTCATTAATTTTTTCCAAAATAATATGGAAAATATTAAATGTCTTATAAATCTTGGAGTATTTTTCGCTCATCACACCTGTTCTATAAAAATGGCGGTATGACGAAGCAACTGTGTATTTGATTGGCTCAACTTTGCATAAAAAAAATTAGTCTATATATACCTAGTTGAATTCAATCTGATCCATTAAATTATTTTATCATGTTCCTGATATCTATCTATTTGTTGGACTATAGGTACTAAAGATATCGTTTCGAACATTCCAACACTTCCCTGTGTTCGAAGAATTAGAAAAAATATATTATATGAGTAAATATAACACAGTTGCTTTATTAATTCCATCATGATACCTATGTTTATTATACATCAGGTCTTGTAGGTTTAATGAACAAAATATAAATAGGTTCCTATCATGAAAAGACAAATTGGATCGCAGACTATTTCGTGAAAATAATAAATATCATACTTCATCATAGGACCATTGACTATCAATAAGGCATTTGAACTTTATGGGAGGAGCTTAATTTTGTTAAGTGCCGCGCCCACAGGGAAAATTCTTCTTCACGGTGCCTCCGCTCCCAATTTCCCATGCAAAAACCAAATAAGATTTCAGTAAATAAAAATTATTTTTGGAGAGTACTACATCTGATCTGTGCATCTTATCGAGTAGTTTTTCTATTTTTGATTCCATAACGTAGAAAAAAATTCACAAAATCGGTCAAAAACGCACTACTTTACAGGTGTTTATAAATTAGTCTATGTTAAAAAATTAAAATCCATTCGATAAGATGCATCGATGGCACCTTTGACTACCCAGGAAAAAAAATTGAGCCTCTAGCATGATCCATAACCATAAGGGAACTTGGGAGCGGTACCTCGTTTATTGGCGGAGGCGCTGCGGAATATGCCCTCTTAACGGTATTCAGATGAAAATTGAAAAGTTAATGATAACAGACTCGATTTTACGACTATGGGCATTGACAACAATTCCACAACTAGTATCATCACATTTTTTCAGATCCAAAACTTTCAATTAGGCTGAAGATGGTCTCTTATAATTGTGTAACAACACCATTAAAATTTGTGGAGATGACTTCGAGCATTCCTTCCTTCCTTTGATGAAACCAACTACTAACCTTACTCTATTCTGAGAGTTAATAATCGAACGCAACCCTGAACCGAATTCGTATCTCCTCCTGTTTCCGAGATCCCCATGCTGTGCAACCTTATCTTGGTTACACTGAATGTCAAAAGCATGTACCGATATGTACCGCTTTCTCACAGTGTGCTTCAGTACTTACTACTTTACTTTCAGTAACAATCACGTACGGTATCTTTATAGCTCTCCATTCTAGTTATGAAATAACTACATATCTATATTTTTTTTCAGGTACTACAAAAGACAAGCGTTCTTAGTGCACCCTGATAAGAATAATCAGCCCGGTGCTGAGGAGGCGTTCAAGATATTGGTGCACGCGTTTGATATGATCGGCAAGCCTGAGAGGAGGGCGTCATATGATAGAGGTATGCTAGACTTATATATTTTATTCAAGTATCGTCTACTCAATGATATATCTCATCGAATTAAGTATTTGTGAATAGTTTGGTCGTGAATAAGTCTGGCCATCAAATCAAGTTTACTGTTGCCAACCCATGGATGTAGATACACAGGGTGACTGACGAAAACTATTTATTGTCCTATTTCATGAACTCAACATCAAATTAATGAATTATGTGCTGTGTCAATTCAACAAATTGATATTATGATCATGGTCGTTATATACAGGGTGATTCGAATTTCGATGTAGATATTTTAAGTTTGTATTGTTGGGATCAAAATATCATGTAGATATACAGGGTGATTGACGAAAACTATTTATTGCCCTATTTCATGAACTCAAGATCAAATCAATGAATTATGTGCAGTGTCAATTCAACAAATTGATCTTATGATCATGGTCGTTATATACAGGGTGATTCGAATTTCGATGTAGATATAGTTAGTTTGTATTGTTGGGATCGAAATAATACTTTTTTCAATAGATTTATTTGTGTCTTAAACTGCATTTTCCTCTGAACTATATGCACTGTAAGTTACGTAAAAAAAACTATAGGTCTACAGGCACATTCAGTAACTTCTTCATCATGCATTTAGGGGTTGTTTCTTATGATTTCTCATTAAATTGCTGAGCTAATCCTGGTTCAGGATCTAAACCAGTGTTGCGACCATTTGAATCAATTTAAATAAAGATTTGATTCAACTTTTTTAATCGTGATTCATATCAAATTATGAATTGCTGTAAAAAAGTTGCCGAAGCAGATAAGTCATCAGGATATTTAAAATAACTAGGTATTTGCATACATTATGTAAGTGTAAAAACATAACTAATCGTCATAAATCCAACGAAAATATTCATTCAACAGCACAGTATGAAGACGAATGAATTTTCTTGTTCCGTGACACACTGCCGAAAATTTTCATGTCAACTCAAGTTTTGTCGTATGTCGCCGAGAAGATTTCTTAAGGGCGCGCATCACATGAAATAGTTCGCCCACAAACACCAGTGAAACTATAAATATATCACAGCCGTCTAGTGGCGCCATAATTATAGTTTCATGTATTATTTCTACAGAATCCTTTAGATACATTTAATTCAATCAATAGGGAACCTCATCAATAGATGTCTCTGAATAATATTTGTGGCTGTACTAAGGGAACAGGTACAAAGTCACCTACAGTGTTGCCAGTATTTAATCAGAGTACGTCGCCAAATTAGTAGCAGTAGAAATTCATAAGTGGAATGATATATTTCACATTATTATATTTACCACCTAGTATTCCCATCCTGTGATGACCTCACCATAGAATGAAAGTCATACGATAGTTTATATCTAACATATATTATTGATTCTCTGTCACAGTGTTTGTGGCCAAACTCCTCCGAAACGGCTTGACCGATTCTTATGAAAATTTTTGTGCATCTTTGGTAGGTCTGATAATCGATCGTAAACTATTTTTTAAATTGGAAACTCAAGATGGCGGATCCAATAAGGCGGACGAGTTTTCTAATTATGATCCGATTCTATTCAAAATCTCTGTATCGGGTGGTTTTCGGGATTGAAAATAATGATACTTTCGTCAGAATAAGGAAATTAAATATGGTGGATCCAATATGGCGGACGAGTTTTGTACTTGTGATCCGAATATTTTCAAAATTGGTATCTGGGGGTTTTCGGTATCGGAGAATATGATTCTTTTGTCAAAATCAGAAAAATAAAGATGACGGATCCAATATGGTAGAGTTTTGTAATTATAAAAAAATTCCAATACCTACCTCCTATTCCTATCCTCCCTAGGAACGCACGATGTTCTTTGAACATTTCTTTGAACATTATAGGGATTCCCTCTCGTGCGCTCCAAGCGATAAAAAAATTATCCTATTCTATTCAAAATTGGTATTTGGGGGTTTTCGGTATCGGATTTTATGATTCTTTTGACAACATTTAAAAAATAAAGATTTCGGATCCAATATGGCGGACGAGTTTTGTTCATGATCCGATTATTTTCAAAATTGGTCTGAGGGTTTTCGGTATCGGGGAATATGATTCTTTTGTCAAAATCAGAAAAATGAAGATGACGGATCCAATATGGTAGAGTTTCGTAATTATAACCCTATTCTATTCAAAATTGGTATTTGGGGGCCAGAGAATGAAGAAGTTATACGTATCATTGTACCTTTGGTTCTTATAATCATTTGAACTTCCCGGAGATTTTGAAGTTTTTGTTGACATGTTTTCTCTGTGCGTTTGAAACATTTCAGACACATTTACCTGATGAAAATAGATTAGATGTTTATGATATATTATTATCAAAAATTTTTCCCATATGATGCCAACTTTATGAATGATACTGTAGAGTGTAGAAACATAATATAAACAAAACATCTGCTAACGTCAAATGGATCTCGCTCTGTGCGGATGACTCGAATCTGGATGGTAAAGCCACAAAGCCATTGAATTTGGACTCGCGATACTCATCTCACTCCCAGAAGCCCAAGTCGTCTCAATAAGTCGCCTGACGCCAAGTTCTATTTTTGGTCGCCAAAATAGGTTCAGAGATAGCCCAATTGTCGAGAAATCGCCCATACTGGCAACACTGGTCACTTATCGATTTTTCTCCAGTTGGAATCGTTCGGGGAATCACACACATCTCTGCTGCCTGATACCGCGACACCGACACCGCCCGCTCCCCGCTCCGCCAGTTGCAGTGCTGCCAGCGTTCTGCTATTTTATATTATAACACTGATGATTTTGTATAATATATCGGTAGGGGTCAATCGTTCATGTAGGTAACGGACTAACTCGACGTCGACCCGGACCCCTGGCACAGGTCCTACGGTCACGTTAGCTGAGGGAACGAGCTGGTTACGTCAGAGACTTCTGGCCTTATGTTCACGTGGGTAACGGTCAATCCGTCTATAAATACAATTTTTATAGAACAAAAAATGAAAAAATCCGAAGAATTTTCCCTTATTTCCCTAGTGAAAACACAGAACTAGTAAAAATTAATTTAGTAATTTGTCCTTTGAACTAGGGACATTTCCTTATTAGACCTGGCATCACTGGTCACTGGTTGAAACTAAGTAGCACCAGATTTCTAATTGTTAGCAAATGAGAAAAGGAGGAAAGGATTGATTACTTGCTTTCATAAAAAATAATATTTTGAGTTTCATATGGGCCTATCACAAAAGACAATATTTTGTTTATGCCTACACTAATTTTTAATTATGAATATTACCTGTCATGAGTGGATTATGTATACTTACTTCAACACCAGTTTTTTAAATGGGAATTCAAGATAATCAAAATTATTTTCTATAAATTGGAAAAAAAGTGGTGGTTACGTTACGATTGGGATATGGGATATAGGAATTTCTCAATTTTGACCAAATGATCATAATCTCCGACCCCGAAAACCTTCAAATACCAATTTTGAATAGAATTGGTCGATAATTACTAAACTCGTCCGCCATATTGAAACCGCCATCTTGAATTTCCCAATTTTGACGAAATATTCTGAATCTGTGACCCGAAAATCCCAGATACCAATTTTTAATACAATTGGTCTATAATTTCGAAACTTGTCCGCCATATTGGATCCGCCATCTTGGATTTCCAAATTTTGAAAAAATAATTGTTATCTCCGACTCCGAAAACAGAATCGGATCATATTTGAACAACTCGTCTGCCATATTGTATCCGCCATTCTGAATCTCCAAATTTTGACGAAGAAATCATAATATCCGACCCCGAAAACCCTCAAATGCCAATTTTGAATAGAATCGGATTACAAAACTCGTCCGCCATATTAGATATCCGCCATTTTGAATTTTCAATTTGAAAAATCGTTTACGACTGATTCTCAGACCTACCGAATATGCACAAAAATCTTCATAAGAATCGGCCAAGCCGTTCGGAGGAGTTTGGCTTCAAACACCGTGACAGGGACAGGAGAATTTCATATATTAGATTAATATTATCAATCAACAGAGTCAGTTATGCAATACACTCGATAGACTATAAAAAGAAAAAAAAGCGCAATTATTTACAAAAAATCGCAATGACGCAAAACGAAGTTGAAAAGCGCCTTATTGGCAACACTGTTCCCCAGACCCAGAAAGAAGAAATGAATAAAAAGAGAATTGTAATGTTTGTATTAGTTCTTGAAGGAGCGAAGCACGGTAGTTTCACTGTGTAGCCCTCTGAAAGACAATAGCTGAACTACTCTGCCACTGTCGAAACCTCGCTAACAATATGGCGATATTGAAAATAGATGCAGAAACGTCAGAATTAATTTTACGCACAATACATTCCCAAACGACAATGTTCCAGTAGCTGATTATTTCATCAAAAATTTATTGAATTGCTAACTTAGGGTATGCCAGGTTTTTATTCGATTCTGTTACACAAACATTGTCAATGTTATTGTTTTTCATTACCATATATTTTTTTACACAAATCGAATTTCGCTGGAAAATTCCTTCATATCCCATTCTCAACCTTCGTCTTCAATATGTACCAACCACTTTTGCGCTTACACTTATAGTTTATTAATGATTTGGTACCAAACTGACCTCTGCATGGCAATTTTGACTGATGCGCCCTCTTAACTGTAAATCTAGACAAACAAGTATTTTTGGGGGCATCGCTCTAGCTTCTCAGGAAGGGCACTAGCCGTTCGATATCTGAGGCAAGCAGTGTCGAGCGCGGTTAGTACTTGGAGGTAAATTCTAGGAAACGCCGCGTAAGCCCGCACATCTGTAGCGGAATAGCATATCATAACTACAGCTACCATATCAATGAGCACAAGATATGGTACGGATATGCCGTTCTTCGGAGGGGACGTTAAGCCGGCGATCCCGAGGCCATGGATGTTGAACTCGCTAAAGATCCCAACCTCTGGTTGGAACACCAGAGGATTCGGCAAAATTTTCGGTTAGGGGTAGTGTGCTCACCGGTGCCGATGATTAGCCTCAGTAGCAGAAAAAGCCGACGTTAAAGAAACAAGGAAAAAAAAGTATTTTTCTACGGCTATAACACAAAATTGCTCTTGTTTTACTGTGTTCGATACATCAGTGAGGCACTTTGTATGTCATCAATTTCATTTCCGTATCTGATATCACAATGACTCCATTGTGTTATTATTTCAAAAAGAAACTCATCGCTCATGAAATGTCAAATTTCAAACTATGACAACTACGTCTAATAGATGAGCATTACTTGAAAAATTCAGTTTTTTTTTAAACGTTTCGAGAGTAGCCCCAGACCAGATAACTTTGGAACCCTCACATCCAGTTTATTACAGCATTCATGAAAAAATAAAGGAGTAATATAATGTACTCTACTTCAATGATGCATCATTCCAAAAGTAATTGTTAATGTTATTGTTTAGTCGCATAAAAAATTTGAATACCATGCCATTTTATTGACACTGTAATCTGCTGACGTTTCCGGATATCATACAGATTGTCTAAAAAAAAATTACCTGCATAATTTAATTTGATTTTTTTATATATAAGTATCCGAAGTTCAATTCACTACGATTTGCGCCATTGGTTGGCAGAGTTATTCCATCGTGCACAGAAAAAACTAGCTTTCATTTCATATAAAAATGATCAATAAATTAACATAAATGTAAGAAAATCATACCTGTTTTTGTTTGTTTTCTACCTTTAGATGTGCACAATGAGTGATTTTCAGTAAACTAATTTATCGCCAATCTTATTCATATACTTACATACGTTTTCTTCTGTTGTTAATGTATAATATTCATGATTTCATTCCATTGATTTTTTAATTAATATTATTAATATACGTATACTTGATCATATTTACATGTTTTACACCTGAAAAGGTATCTTCGAAGGAACTGATAAAGGATATCTATCTATTGAATGTATTGACATTTCAGTATTGACGTAACATGCACCAACACCGCGGAAAGAATTTTCATAAGCCGCCCTCGTGTAGGAAGTCCTGAAATTATCAACTGAACATGTGATAGGGGGGGGGGGGGGATTGTTGAAACAATTATTTAACGTATACTTTTTCGCAGACTTATTTTTGGTGTCATTTGTATCACGATAAAGTACTTTGTATACAATCGTGCGTGCACATGCGCTGTGGTAATTTTTTTAACATGTTCTTTTATTGTGATTACAAAAATAGCCCTCTCTTTATCACATGATCAGTTAATGATTTAGAGACTTCCTACACCAAGGCGGTATGCAAATTTTTCCGCAGTATAATTTATTTCAAATTCCAACAAGAACCAATTTGCATGCTTACTAATCTTTCAAAATCATCAATTTTTGAATGCAGATTCAAATTTGATTGGTGACGCCGCTGCATGCGAGCAAAATTAGATAATTGTCCAGGACATGTTGAAAACCCATGAAAATCATGACTTGAAAGATGCATACATTGAAAAAACGTTACACAAAATTACCGGCCAGTCTATACAAGGGGTTTTTGAAATAAGTGCATATTAATATGATACAGTCTAAGGAATATTCTCATGATATCAGATTCTTTCTAATTCTTTGAATTAACGAGAAATTTCGTCCCAAAAATTGAACAATATACGAGAAAAAAATCAAGTACGCCATTTTAAAACAATTCAAATGATTGAACTCCGCGTTATTGTGCCTAAAGTGTAGAACTTTCGATTGAAAAAGGGGTCTAAATTTTCTTTATTAGTGCCATTCGATAGTACACCTCGAACTTTCTCAGTGTTTGAAATATTTGCACTTATTTCAATGCCACCCTGTATCGACAAACGCATTTTTACGATACAATACGGATAGATATGGAAACAAGAGGCAGCTCGATTATTTTTTCTCATTTAGCTTAAAATGAACGAAAATACAAACTAGGAATTAATTACCCATAATTTTTTTTCAATTCATGACTAGAAAATGGTGGTGGTCTTTTCGTCTATCACGCTTCGTAAACTTCCAGGTGTTGTTGAATCTGCCCAAGTAGCCCAAGCGTGGAGCGAACTGACAGAGCTCTTGCAACAGCTGCAGCAAAAAGTCGAATCGGCTGCCAATACGATAAGGTGCAGCTCGTGCGGTTTGAGGCACAAGCGAGTGAAAATCGACAGGCCGGGTTATGCGGCTCGAAACTGCAACACCTGCAAAATCCACCATTCGGCACGTGAAGGAGACATCTGGGCCGAAGCTAAGGTTAATATATTAATAGTATATCACTGGATTGTATTAGTTAGAGTTCCTAAATGTACTTGACAGTGCTTTTTTGATGTTTTTTGTATATTAGAGTACGGACACTATGACAAGCACTGACAATCAGACATAACCACAAATAAATTGTAGAAAAAGCGGGAACTGACAGTACACGGACGTACATGACATAAATTTCAAAGGTTTGACAAATTGAGAGAATTAGGAGAAAGATGCAAGTTTGTGCAGTTTCCAATTGTGAGAACACGGGAAATCAATTCACGCTATTCAAATTTCTATCGGATAACATAATTCTACTAAAATGGAAACATAAGATGATGCGGCCGGCATGGAATATAGGTTCAGGCCACAAAATTTGCGAGATATTCAAATTTCTTGGTAGGATATAGAACATTTTTCAACGCATTTTTATCAGATACACTTCAGAACGAAAGATTTGATGTTGAAGAATAGGATCGTATTGAGAGAAAGAGCCGAACTCACAATAAACTGAGCGAGTATCGAAAAGAACCTTATTCTATTCCAATTCAGAACCAACAAGAGACGACAAACTTGCAAATAATGAAATTCATTTCGAACATATTTTGAAAGAGAAAGACTTGATAATCGAATTTTTAGAGCAGGAATATTAAAAAATCCAAGGTTTACGAGTGGAAGAGAGTGAGGAATTCAGGAAACAGATAGAAGAAAAGGATAGAGAATAATACAAGTCAGAGTTATCAAAATTCAGAACTATTACCTATATATTGTTCGTGTATCGCTTCTTCAAAGTTGAAATCCCAAGTCTGAATATGCATGTTCATACGTAGTTGAGAAGTGCTAGACGACCCCTTCTTGGGTACCAAGATACGAGCAAGATATTATCAGACCCCAGAACAAGAACGCTTAACGAGTGCACCATTTATGTAAGGTATTGAAAATAATCTTCCGATGACCGGGCAATGTGAACGGCGATCTATAGTGAGTCGAGCGCTGAAGTCCATTTAAACCTACTTCCGTATGTCTTGGAGAACCTTTATTATTTATCCTAACTGAAATCAGCTGTTATTGTTGCCATATCGTTTGTTCATTTATTAATGAGTTATTACCTACCACTCTTGTACAAGTGAAATTTATTAGTTTTCACCCCATTCTGAACTTTTGTGATGAAAAAATATGCAACTGAACATATACATATACCTACATATAAGAGACTGATTTCATGGAAAAGTATATGTATTTCGTTGGTATATAATATGTACATACCAACTTGATATCCACCTCCATATTGAGGTCCTTCAGCCTTATCTTTCAATATTTGGAGTGAGGAGACGCTATGCACTCTCATACAGAAATCAAAGACAGAGAAAGATATATGGATGTACTTTTCCCAGGACTTGTGGAGGAAGGAAGATGCGAGGATCCTTAAGCAAAAAACATATTCTTGTCCTCGTCTGGCAAACATATGATTTGCTTCAAAATCGTTTGTGGTTATGTTTGATTGTCACTGTGTGTCTAGTGTCCGTACTCTAATATACAAAAAACGTCAAAACAGCAGTGTCAAGTACATTTAGGAACTCTAGATGGTACCTATTAGTTAGATAAGATTTCGGACGACAGACCTACAAAGCTAATGCAAGTGTGAGAAATCGCTGAAATCTGATACAACCAGTGTGCTTACGGCAATGGTGATTATGGGCACATTGTCGGTAACATTGTCAGGTATATATTTTCATACGCAAATCTCATATTTATGCGTTAGGATGTAGTTCATATCTCTTACAAAACTTCTTGTAACCGATGATCAACAGCTTCACAAAAATCATATTTATGAAATTTTCACGACACAATTCATAAACTTCTTGATATTAATTGAATGGCTAAAAAGAGATCGATGAATTATTATGAACTTCAAATTTCTTACAAGTTCATCTGGCAACTGTGTAAGAATGTGCCTCTGTCATTTTGTCTGACGTAGCCACAAGACAGAGCCGGATTAGTTTCAGTTTTTCAGTGTTTTGCTTTGCGTTTAACGTCTTTCAATAGTGAATTTGAGATTATTGAAGAGTATATTTATATACATATTGGTATTTCCCTCTTTTTTGGGTAATGGGTGGTTTATTCGTTTTTTTTTTTATTTCAAACAACTCGTAAACGAAACCGCAAATCGAAATTCCACAAGAGTGCCATTCTGTCTTGATTGAATTTGGGAAAATATCTAATAAATAGGGCGGCAAAGTGAAACAGCTACTCTGTATCTACTCCACTAGACAATTTTGACAAAACTTAGTTGCGTCAAACAACGATCAGGGTAACCATTTCATAAGTATTTGCACCAAATCTTATTGTATGTCCTAAGAATTATAGCAAGAAAAATATTTTTAAAACTGGACTTCAGAGGGATGTATCTTCCTGGAAGAGCGTTTTAAACAAATTATAATATCAATTTTATTCATGCCGCCTTATTTTTTTGAAGAACAATGTTGAATTATTGCTAATATAGCCTGAACCACCCTGTATATTAACTCGCCGATTTCTATCCAATGAACACTTTAGTTGATGGAAAATACATCGAAACATTATTACTCCTAATAACATAAAGATTCATCATAACAAATATCAGATGAATTTTTCACAATATTTTGCTCTTTCAAGAAAGTTACGAAAACCTGGTTATCAAATAATTCAGAATCCGCTCCTGGCATGGTCGCGTCTTTACTGCGCATGCTCACATTTGCCGTTTGAGCCACGTTAGGGAACACTCGAATATAACGATATTGGCCTTCTCGGTCTTTGAGTTCTGTGGTTCGGACAAAGCTGAATTTCTGTCATTTTTTATTTTCTATATTACAATGGTTCTCTGATAGCGCCTGTTTGTCAGATACGATTTTAGAGGTTAGATTTTCTGTCAAATCAATTATAGCCGTGGATGGAAAATGGGTTGCGTGCAAGAATTGTCAGATGACCGACCCTGGAGGTGAAATATTGAAACACAATATCACTTTTCTTATCTGTTTATAAGTGATTGAAATAGTTTTTCACAATTATTTTGGAATACGAATCTTGTTTTACGGCTATTCATGTTGTTGTACACATTGGCGGCGGAAGGGGGGGGGGGGGGGGGCTAGGATGGGCTAAGCTCACCCCAAAACATTGTTCAGCCCACCCCAAATTTCATAAGAGAGATTCAGTCAACTGTCTATTCTCCACACAGAAAAAATTTCAACCAAACAAATCGACCAGCATAAAAAAAGATAAAACTGTCATTATAATTTATGATATTTTGTTCTCAACTATTTGGGACTTGTTTTCTCATCTCATTGAAAATATAAAATCATTTGATTTCTTCATATAAATTTTAAGGTTATGTGAAAAAAGTGTGAAGGCAACAGTTATTGATCTTTATATTACCTACTATATATCTTTTTTTCATAGGACTTGTAGTTTTGCGGGAAATCGAGATAATGCATTTTTTAACCTTAAAAGCTCATCCCCCTTCCACTTCCTGACCTCAGATCGCCCGTAATTTGTTTTTTCTTTCGAGTTGTCATCAAAATGTTAGTTACATCAGCCTACAAGTTAGCCACCAATCAATATTTAATCTTTGGTAGAAGTCCATGGTTTCTCAAAGTGGAGTGAAGTAGTAACTACTAATAATACTCGAAGTCTTCTCCACGACATAGTAATATGATCAAACTGATCAAATTACTTGGTACATGTTACGGACATCTATTATGTCCATCCTCAGCTTTATCAATTATTACTACATATCGTGGAACTGAAAAAAAGTTGAGTTACATCTTATCCTATTGAAATGTTTGGGCTTCCCCTTTGGATTAAAATGAAACCCATCTTTGTTGCATTTCATTAAGATTCGATCCACAACATAGCTAAGTTTAATCACTCACCTCTGCTATTAAGTAAATCAGAATAGTTACCGTTACCGCACCTCTAGATAGAAAATGAAAAATGAAATCAAAATCGATATTGGAGTTTGAAATTTCACTTAGGTATGTGGTATTAGTGGATTCAGAAAATGATGCAGGATTCGAAAATGCAATGGTATTCAGGGTGTTTCATATGAAAATCAAGAGTAATTACCACTTCCGTAGGAAAATAATAGTATATTACGTAAAATGTGTTGTAAAAAGCATATTACGCATGAATGGAAAAGTAGTTCCATGAGTGCGTAATTGCTTTACAACACGCATTACGTACTATACTTTACCTACTGCCATATAGTACATCTCAAAAAAGTTTGGACAAATAGTTTGAATTATAATTCTTGACAGTTATGACATCCGCTGTTGACGGCGAGTACGCGATCATGACTGGCGGAATAAACGAAAACTGTGCGATGTGCTTACTGTGCGTAAAGAGCTACTTACTGAGGCTGTATCTCATGTGTTCTTGCCTACTTTCTATAGTTGTTACACCCGGTATACATGTTTGTTTATTTATGATATTATTGTATGACATGTTCTGTGTCCACTGTAAGAAATTATCACCCTTGTCAAATCATTATTATCTGATGGATTTCGAGAAGCTTTTTTTTGTTGGATAGGTATTAGAAATGTCCATCCAACAAGAAAGTGATTTTATTCTTGGAAAGTAATCCTGACCAACTTTGATCAATTTTATTGACCCATATTTCAAAAAGTACTATGAGGGATTTTCGAGGGGATTTTCAATCCTGAAAATTATGAAATAATGATTCAAAATCGATCAGATAATGATTTTACAGGGCTGGTAAGTTCTTGGAGTGGACACAGTGTATACCGTTTTTTCAAGTTTTTGAGAATAAGCGAGTGGACTAATTTGTTTTATTTCTTAAATAGAATCATCACTCAAATACCTTTCAATTCCATATTCTTTGGAAAAATTTTGGTCGATTAGGTGCTTAAATCATCAATAATGCCATGATAATTTTCAAGCGGATAGAGATTTACCCTCAGTAAAAACTGACGTCACGTTTTCGTAAGTAGGGGCAAACCATAGCACAGTTGCCATGTGTTGAAATACGATTCGGAATTTCAGAAATATTAGTTATTCGATAATTCATAAATTCTCAAAACTTTTGACAGCTTGTGGCACAAAGGAATACTTTACAAATTATGTACCTTGAACTGCCCTAAACATATAATACACCTAATAAAGGATTACCTAGACAAAAGGTCCCTGCAAATAAAAGTACATCAGGCAGAATCAATAAATTTCCACCCGCATCAAGGACTCCCTCAGGGCTCACCCTTGTCTCCATTTCTCTACAATATATACTGTTTCGACATATTCAATTGGAACAATCAAAATCTACAAAATCAAAATACACATCAACAGTCATCATAAAACACTTGAAAAAGCAGTTGAAGAGTTACAAAACGCAATTCGGAACACTATGAGATGGTGTGACAAGTGGAGGCTAGAACCAAATCCAGAAAAATTTCAACTGATACTCTTCAATGAAAAATATCAGATGATTCACCCACGGTAACTGTGAACAATCATGTAGTGAGAACTAGGGCATTAGTTAAATATCTGGGAGTGCACTTAGATCAAAAACTTAACTTTAACCATCATACTGCAGCACATATTTACAAAACCATTTGCCGCCCAATTCTTGAGTATGCTCACGCAATATACATAAACACGAGGAAGACGGCACTGAACAATTTGGAAGTAGCAGAAAGAGCTAGCCTGAGAGCCATTACCAAAATCCGGCACCCTCAAAATCCCCTTCACCATCCATAAACGAACTTCTATATCTGCTGACCAGGGTGCAACCAATTTCTGAGAGACTGATAAAGCTAACATTGAAGTTTTCGAAAAACGAATCCAATCTCCAAATTATCCAATTCCAGTGTTTACAGAGAGATCTAACAGTGAACCCAAGAAGTTTCCGGAAAACACACTATTGGAATGCTTAATCAATCGTTACCACCGATACAACAAGGCCTGCATGCCCCGTGGGTCACTTAGTGAGGCCTAACCAGCGGCTCGAAACGACAAGCGCTTATAGCGATATAAGGCGACCGCGTATTTCGATTTTAGTTTTAGATCATCATTGAGCCGATTTTGCTGTTTTTTGAAGGGCTTCCGGTTAAAAAAGGATGCCAGTCGTCAACTGAGCCCTTCTTCGCACCCCATTCGATTTTATTATGGAAAACGAAGTTTTAAAGCAAAAACCAGGATAAAACACAAATATCCACCTACAGCAACCAATTCGAATTAGATATATTGGCAAAAATTGTGGTGAAGGTAAAATTCACACCTACTTATACAGGGCCCGCAGAACATATTCGTTACACTTGAAACCGTAATTTTTAAGGGTAAAACTGCATTTATCATGCGATGGTTTTTTTTTGAAATTTTTTTTCGGTACTCACGTATTTTTGTCTGATAAACCGAATTTTATAATGAAAATGTGAACAAACCACTATTTATTAAGATATTTCAAGAAAAAGTTCGAAATTTCGCCTTCTTTCTCCCCTTGTGTTGGGGGCATTTGAAGCTACTTGCTCTTATTTTGTCATTGGACACTTTATATACTCATGATGTACTTCGATGGCACATTTTTATGAAAATTCAACAGGAAATATGATTTTTATGGTTTTTCATATTTAGTGAACAAGCATTCCAGATGACGACCATTTAATCAATAGTCAATCAAAATACGAGATGTCAAATGTCAATAGATTGCTTTCGAATGACATTACACACGCCATTATTTTGTATGATATTCTTCCTTCTTTTCACTAAATATGGATTAATCTCAAGAAAATCATATTTATAGTTGAATTATATATAAATTGTCCAATATGATGAAAAAAGAAGGGAAATTTGTTCTAAATGCCATCCAGAAGACAGGTGAAGAAGAAGGTGAAATTTGGAACTTTTTAGTCAAATATTTTCATGATAAATATCATGATAAATGCAGTTTTACCTTTTTAAGTAGAGTGTTTGTAGTTTATGTTAATATGATGTTGCAATTTGAAATTTGATCATTGGAATGAATTCTGCATTCATTCAATGACCGTTTTCAGAAAGAAATTTGAGAATGAGAATCAAAAATGCCCGTTTATTATGAACATTCAAGAAAATTTCCTCGAATTCAGAGATGATTTTGTTGACTATAATATACGAATACAAAACTAACTGCACAATCAAAGCTTTTCTATTTTTCCTCTACTTATACTTTATATGAGAGAGTAATTGTCTTCTATTATTAATTCATCATTATAAATTAAGCTCGGTTTACTACTGAACTTAGATGGAGTAAAATCCTCGCGGTGAATTGTAAATACCCACATTTTCGATAGCTCCTCGTCCAACGGGAAACTAAAAGCATGAACTTTTGAACCACCCACATAATTCCCCCGACAAAAGGGAACACAACACTTGAAAGGCACAACACAAAATATTTCACAAAACAGTAATTTTTCCGCCAATTATTTTGATGAATAAACAACAAAAGAATTCGGGACCGTTTCAAAAACATACGTGAATCACCGATGAATTAACAGGAACTGACGCGTTAGTCGACAAGCGATAAAATAAAACACTGGCCTCTCTTGGTGACGTCACGAGCTGTTTACGTCAGAGTCTGCTGGCTTTGTTGTATCGGTGGTAACGAATCAATTCAGAAGACTGAAATACCTTCGAAATTTTTGCCTCACAATAGACTTTTCTTATTTTTTTTTACACTAGCAAATTTAATAATTCCATATATCTTGTACATACAATAATGATGAATTTAAACTCAATGTATAATCACTGTGTAACACAGGCTGATAAGGACCTTGGTCGGTAGCCTTTTGGTATCCAATACAGCTCTTTAATTATTATTATTCATAAATTCTCAATTGAGTATTGGTAATACTCCTAATTAGCAATAAAGATTCAATGGTCTCAAAATGTTCACTTTTGATTTGTGGCTTATTACTTATAATACATTTGTGTAAATAATAATCATATTAATTCACACTATAGAGGACATTTGAATAGGTGAACGTGACAACCACGAAGCACGACTTGTGGGCGTGGTCTTGTCAGTTCGCAGCATTCAGCACAATGTTACCAAGTCTCCAAAAAGAACTATAACATCATGAGTCCCTCCTATTATGTTGAACAGCATAAAAACTGACCAATTCAACAATTTTGAAGAAGGCATAGACTCATTATTTACATAAAAACAAGCTTGAGAAGTGTTGCAAAAATTAATTCAGGTTTTAACAACACAGTGGAGTAATTGAATGCCAATAACTCATTCAACTCATTATCAGTCCACTGGCCCATTTTGTGGAAATCCTATCCTTTGTGAAGTTATTGCAATTTATTCTTATATTTTCACAAAGGTAATGGGCTTTCTCTGGCACTACTATGCTTGCATGGAAGGGGCCGTTTACGACATAACCGAATGGGCGGGCTGCCAGAAGGATAGCTTGAAGCATCTGAGGCCCGACTCGCACAATGTGCAGTATCGAATAGCTCTGGGGAAGCAGAACCAGCCGCGGAGACACGCGGGGGCGGCCGCGCATACCGACAGGCCGGACCTGGAAAATCTGCTGAACACTCTGTATGGGCAAAGCGACGGGGCGCCAAGTAGTCGTCGTAGAAATAAGAAGAATAAATGAAGATGTGCTTCAATATTCAAATTGTATGTTCTGTGCTATGAAAATGCTATACCACATTAATGCTAGGCGCTTCAAGAATAAATGTTTTAAATGCAGGAACATGTATTTTATTAAAAAATATTCACACTTTTCTTTCACTTGATATCTTTGAATTTTGAGAATGAATGGTAGGATGAAATCACAAGAGACAACATCTAGAACCTTTTACTCTTTTTGCATACACCTACCACCTAATTATCTATAAATATTTACTAATTGTATATCACAGATTCACTAGAAAATTAAATATTTATTTATGATTTGCAATGATGAATCAAGATTAATAGTTTCTTTCAACATTGAAAATATTGAAATCCATTTTTTGATAACACTTAATTGCTTCTTGATTTCCTCACACAGTATATTTGACAATAGGGCAGTTTAGGGCACTGCCAAACTTGAGCTGGCATACAGAAATCAAAGTAATGATATCTGCAGTAACCAAGTGTTATTTAGAATTCTAGTAACTAGAAGGTTGAATTTTTTAGTATGCATATTTTGAAATATGATTACTGAAGTGAAAAGACCAATTACTTGTCAGCTACATAAATCAGCCAATCAATATCATTAGTTTTTTGAAATACCTCAGTCTATGTGTGTCTACTAACTAATGGGGTAAGAAGAGCTGAATGCCTTACAATAACTGATTATTCATGAGTGCAAGAAATAGCATATAAGGAGGTATACCATCTTGTGTATTAAACTCCTCTTGTGAATAGACTTCATCTTCAGGCTCAATGGCTGTACCTTCTACTGGGTAATTTTGTGTAATGTTGTTCCATCCTATATCTCACCCTCAGAATTTTATATAAACATACTATCAAACAGTTTTAGGAATTAAAACAATTGAACAAAACAACTAGAAGGAATATCCAATAAATAATAAAATCAAGAAAGTGCACCATCAAGAAAACATAGGCAAGAGTTATTATCAATAGCTACATCAACATCTCGCTTCATTATAGTCTTGCGTTTTCCACTTCCAAGTTGCTTGTTAGCTTCTTTAGCCAGAAATTCTATGAACATTTCCTAGAATTCAAGCTAGTAAAAAAACAATTATTCAATTGTAAAAGAACTTACTGTAGCTTTTGTGATAAGAAAGACAGAATCCTGAGATGTCATTGCACAGCCTGGGTCCATTTTCATCATTGATTTCACTCTAGCTAAAGGTAAACGCAGATATCTGTGTTTTTGGTTATGAGATACATCTTTGGATGATGAGGGTTCCTCGTTTTCGTGTTTCTCTTTGTTTTCTATTATTTCTACGTCGATGTTTGTTGATGTGTCTATATCACCGTTAGTTTCTTCTATATCCATCATATTATATTAAATTCAAATTTGAATTTTATAAATGGAAAATAATAATACTGAAAATGATAAAGCCGCGCGATTCTTCACACCTCAGACGAGAATGACGAGAGTCGAGACGAGACACGAGACTTGACGAGATGACGAGACGAATCAAAGCAGTGTGCAGTGTTGCCATTGCCAACCCATTTTGATAGAAATTCAATTTCCCAGCAAGAGTCAAGAAATTCCCATCTTTTCATTTTTTTAGTTTGTTTTCATCAGAAATAGGTGTATCACTGAAACAGTATCAGGATAAGAGTTCGGACACAGAAATGACAATTGTTAGTGTTTTCGAATGTTTTGTGACAACAGAACCATAGTCGTTCCGCGCTTTTTCATTCAATATTGTTTGAATTTGATAATAAATTTTATAAATGTCCAGAAGTCGCCAAAATTGAAATATAATTAATCTCATAAACTATTGAGAAAAAAAGCATAAATGAAAATGTCCTACTGTGCAATGAATTGCGGGAATACTGAAGGGAATGACGATTTCATTTCTTCTATTTTCCAAAAGAAATATCAACCATTTCCTTTACGGATGGAATGTATATGAAACGGTCTGGATGGAAAATTCATTTGAAGGCAAGCAAAATTTGTGAGGTGAGTACAAACATTAAAATTCACTTTCATTTCTTCAATTTTCCAAAGGAAATATCAACCATTTCCTCATGGATGGAATGTATGAAACGGCCTGGATGGAAAATTCATTTGAAGGCAAGCAAAATTTGAGAGGTGAGTACATACATTAAAATTCACTTCTTATAACAGCAGATTGGTATGATACTATATTTTAGGCCCATTTTCAAACCGAAGATTTATAAGATCCGTTTCTCCTTTGATTTGCAAAACAGACTATTGAAAAAAATTCCAATATTATCATCACAAGAAATGCAAAACAAAATTAGAGGAATTGATTGCAAAACTACGTAATGAAATTGAAAATTTGAATGCAGCAAAAGGTGGAAACTCAAGACAATCTTCATGTTTTAAACTTTATCACTCGGGTACGGTTTTATTTACAATATGAAACTAGCTATAAGTAGGGTCCCTTGATGGAAATTGACGTTAAAGTCATCCTAACAGGGTACGGACAGATCCTCGTCTCCTCTCACTCTAAAGTGTTTGTGAAACAGTTATATAGTTCCATCCTTATTCAATTCTAGGGAAAAACACTAGATTTTTGACATTCGTTGTTTTTTAGGTTATATTGAGGTCACTGGCGTATCATACGTAATTTCCATATGGAATTCCCGATTCAACTATACCAAGATATAGATGAACAGTCCTCTAGATTTAGAGTTTACTACTCCAGCATAATCTTTGCGAGGTAGGGAACATATAAATTGTACTGAAAGCTTAATATATTTCACTAAGAGATACTGTTCTTAAACTGTATACTAGGGTTGACTGAATTGACTGAATGAATTCTGATTTCAAGCTGAGCAGAAGTTTATCTATCAGCTTAATGAGCTGAGCCTTATGATTGAGAAATGATGGAAACCAAAACTACTGTACTTATTCATGTGTGCTCATTATATTTTTGGAAATCCAGCTCGGTGAAGAATTTATGGAGTGACTAATATCACGTATATCATGTATAAAACTTTGTCTAGGACGAAAATTAGGCTGATAAAAAGTAATACGTAAAATATGCAGGAAAATAAAGAATAGAATATACTTTACCCCCATGTTATACATATGATTTTTCCGTCTCCCTCAAATTGAAAGTCATTTTCGAACAATTGATTGATAAAAGTAACAAAGATGTAGGTATACGCGGTATAACTTATAGTCACGTTATTTTCACTCTTGCATCCTATATATTTTCTATTTGTGGTATAGAGTAATAATCATATAAACTTTCGCCATATCGAATCCGCCATCTTGAATTTTCCAATTCTGACGAAACGATCATTATCTCCTACCCCGGAAACCCCCAGATATCAATTTCGATTTTTGAATAGAATCGGATCATAATTACAAAATTCGTTCGCCATATAGCATCCGCTATCTTGAATTTCTCAATTTTGACAAAAAATCATAAAGTTCGACCCCGAAAACCCCCAGATACCAATCTTAAATAGAATCAGATCATAATCAGAAATTTCTTTCGCTATACGGGCTGATTCACGGTGGCAGCGCTGAGAATATTTCAGGTCGATAGAACACAACTAATTATTCGAAGCGCCAACTTTTCAGAATAATCCTGAGTTGCGTTTTCCAGAAACGTCTAATGTGACATCCACCGTGAATCAGCCTGTATATTGGATTGGTCATCTTGAATTTTCCAAGTTTGACGAAACAATCATTATCTCCAACCCCGGAAAACGCCAGATATCTTCCAATTTTGAATAGAATCGGATCATAATTACAAAACTCGTTCGCCATATATGATCTTCAACAAGTAAACACCCTGTACATACCTATTATTGAAATTTTGAATGATTTTCTGTAGCGCCCATGGATGTGACGTGACAGCAATGTCAGTGATGCCAGTAGACAAAATTAAAGTCTCTAGATCATTAAAAAAGAATGCAGCTATGATCTGTCCGTACCCTGTTAAGATGACTTCAACGCCAATTTTCATCAAGGGACCCTAGCTATAAGTAGGGTCCCTTGATGGAAATTGACGTTAAAGTCATCTTAACAGGGTACGGACAGATCGTCGTCTCCTCTCACTCTAAAGTGTTTGTGAAACAGTTATATAGTTCCATCCTTATGGGATAAACACTAGATTTTTGACATTCGTTGTTTTTCAGGTTATATTGAGGTCACTGGCGTATCATACGTAATTTCCATATGGAATTCCTGATTCAACTATACCAAGATATAGATGAACAGTCCTCTAGATTCAGAGTTTACTACTACAGCATAATCTTTGCGATTTAGGGAACATATAAATTGTACTGAAAGCTCATTATATTTCAACAAAAGAGACTATTCTTAGACTGTATACCAGGGTTGACTGAATTGACTGAATGAATTCTGATTTCAAGCTGAGCAGTAGTTTAACTATGAGCTGAGCCTTTTATGATTGAGAAATGGTGGAAACCTCGATGTGGGTATCTAATAGACTACTGTACTCATGTCATGTGTGCTAAATATATTTTCAGAAATCCAATTCGGAGAAGAATTGATGGAGTTACTGATATCACACTATGTATAAAACTTCGTCTAGGACGAAAAGTAGGCTGATAAAAATTAATACGTAAAATGTGCACGAAAATAAAGAATTGAATATACTTCACCCCATGTTATAAATATGATTTTTTCGTCTCTTCTGAATGAAAAGTCATTTTCGAAAAATTTATTGACGAAAGTAACAAAGAAGTAGGTATCCGCTAAGTATACGCAGTATGATTTATTGCATCCTACATATTTTCTATTTGTGGTAGAGTAATGACTCGAGTAATGATTATATAAACTAATGTCTTTCGCCATATTGGATCCTTCATCTTGAATTCTTCAATTTTGACGAAACAATCATTATCTCCTACCCCGAAAACCCCCAGATACCAATTTTGAATAGAGTCGGGTCTTCATTACAAAACTCGTCCACCACATTGGGTCCGCCATCTCGAATAACCCAATTTTGACTAAATAATTATAATCTCCGACCCCGGAAATCCCCAGATACCAATTTTGATTTTTTGAATAGAATCGGATCATAATTACAAGTTTCGTTCACCATATCGGATCCGATAACTCTCATATACCAATCTTAAATAGAATCTGATCATGATTAGAAATTTCTTTTGCTATATATTGTATCGTCATCTTGAATTTTCCAAGTTTGATGAAACAATCATCATTTCCAACCCTGGAAAGCCCCACATACCTTCCCATTTTGAATAGAATCGGATCATAATTACAAAACTCGTTCGTAATATGATCTTCAACAAGTAAATACCCTGTACATACCTATGATTTAAATTATGAATGATTTTCTGTAGCGCCCATGGATGTGACGTGACAGCAATGTCAGGGATGCCAGTAGACAAAACTAAAATCTCTAGATCATTAAAAAAGAATGCAGCTATGATCTGTCCGTACCCTGTTAAGATGACTTTAACGTCAATTTCCATCAAGGGACCCTAGCTATAAGTATATACATTTGTGTCTATTCTGTCACATTAGAATGTTGTTTCATGAATTCTTTCAATTTTTATGACTATTATTCTGCGAGAAGTGTATTGCTATATGAATTGAAGTGGGTGTTTATACCTATTTATATTTTCTTTCTACGACAATGATTGATTTGACAGAAAATATAACCTCTGAAATCGTTTTTGACAGAGCAGAAATGGGTTGCGTGCAAGAACTGTCAGATGACCGACGCTGGAGGCAAAACATTATAATAAAATTTTATTGTTGGAGGTTAAATCGGATAAATTGGTTTGTCATTGTTTATAACTTGTTCGTATCCTGAAATTCTTTCTTGACTTCAATTTAAAAAAAAGTAGATGTTTCATGGAAATAATTCTTAGGAGTTTTTTTTCAATAAGAACCACTTCATCATTATTGAATTTCAGTGCGAAACACTCAACAAAATCATGAATTATGGGAAGTAGTCTTCTTTATTTTCATTAAACCTTCGAATTTTCATCATTACTTGATGATGATGATTAGATTGCCACGCAATTTCTATTTTTAAACCATGCATATTCAATGTTTCCGCCATTTTCAAAACTGCACTGACTTCGCACGACCTAATAGAGCTCGTGCGAGAATTGTTGCACTGAGCTCTAAACTATGTGAACCAGTTTTCCAATGGAATTCAGAACCAGACACCAGTTTCAACCAATGGAATACAAAATATGCACTCAGTGCGAGCCAGCTTTACCAATGGAATTCGCTAATCTTGCTGCATTTTTTTGTGCATTGTACAACAGCACAATGCGAAGGCATGCTCGAATTAATGAATAGCGCAAAAAACACGATTCGTATGCCAAAACATTGTGAAAAACCATTTCAATCCTTTGATTCCTCTGTAACCAAATAATAAAGTGAGGTTGTGTTTCAATAATTCACAGAAGAATGAGGTTGTGGTTCAATATTTTGCCTCCAGGGTCGGTCATCGTGCATCGTGCATCGTGTCTATTACTCATTTATGCACTCAAACCATTGTAATATAGAAAAAAAAAGGAGAGAAGTTCAGCTGCGTCCGAACTCTCATCTAACTAATAACATCCGGTGACTAATGTGAGCAGAGTAAGTCATAGAAAAATATCAAGTGCAGCAGGTAGAGCAAGCACAAATATTTTCCACATTGAACTTGAAAAAAAGCCTTTCTTTATTTTGGTAGATATTTCAAACTAAAAGAGTGAATGGCTTGCATGAAAAAAAATCTCATCTTGGAGAATGAAATTAATGAAAATGCTGCTTCAGGAAGCGAAACTTCTGTCACTGTCACTTTTTTTATGCTTCTGTGATCTGTGTTCTGTGCATGGAACATGAAATGACTACGACTATTTTCATGTCAGTCGGACACACGACACAGGTAATAGAGAGTTGAAGTGTTGTCATGAACGTTAACGTAAACGTAGAAATTGACAGCTACGCATGCGCATTTTCCAATTCTTCACGTTTGCGTTGTTAGTGGGCGTACGTTATTTCACGTACCTTCACGTATACCTCAAATATCAACGTACGTTAACCAAACTATTGATCATTCCAGAACACGTGATTTTGACATGGTTTCTTGAGGGGCACACAAACTATCTGTTAGGTTACCTTTCATGAGCATTGCCCAGGCCGTCCCTCTGCCACATTCACAATATAATAACAGTTTCACCAAACAAAATTATGAAATTCTTTCTTGTTCCAACTCGGATTTCAAGGAAAACGATCTCACCAATTCTGGTTTCCTATGACAGATCATGACACAATACAATGTTTGCCCCTCAGCAACCTGTCAAATGACGTAATTCTGGAATGATTAATACTCGAAATATGCCGATGAGTCAAAATTATCAAATTTGGGATCGCCAACGAGTTCTGCATCAAGGAGTCCTCTCATTTTGACAGGAATAAATGGTCGAATCCAGACACACTACCAAAAATGACCAATACAAACCGAAAACAAAATGTATTATTACGTTATGACGACAGTGACGACTTTAACTCAATTTAACGACGATACGTAAACGTTATTTTTCGTACCTTAACGTCTACGTGGAGGTCTACGTACAGTGATTACTTCAGAAGTAATCACTGTACCAGAGCACTTCAGTCACAGTTAAAGAGTTCATTGCTCCAGGGTGCTCCAGGATTCCTTCTAAAAGGAACCCTTACACATTGCAACAGTGTATAATATTAGTGTTCTGTGTACAAATTTGTTGTTTCATGTCACGTGTTTGTCACAAAATGTAAAATGTCAAATTCGACAATGTTTACTGTCTGCGTTGCCAGACCTAGTCCTTTCGTACTAGATCTAGTACTTTCTCACAGTCTAGTACGCTGGTAAGCCGATTGCAAAATTCGTACGTATTCCACGTTTTGACTTAAAATATCAAAATATCGACATTACCGAAATGAACCAAAGAAAAGTTCAATGTGCAATATCAGTGAAATCTCATTTTGTGTGATAGGTGTGGTGTGATCACGGTGTGACTGGTGTGATAGTTGAAAGCAGCCAGCATCCAGCATACCATACTTTTTCAATACTGGTATTACTGGTGCGATCCTTTTGATTGTGGAGGTGACACTTCAGTACACTGATGCAAATTTTTAGTACATTATATATTTCCTAGCGGCAACACTGCTCTGGCCCTCTAGTTTTTTAGAAAAAAGTGCCATAGAGGAAAATTCTTGATTATTCTGTTTTCTGTTTGGAATTTCATTCAAAAGATTTACGCCTTCGAAATTTTGTAAGTGTCTAAGCACTACTTATGTTCGCCAGTGGTTTATCGAAAAATTAAAGCAAATTTTCCACCAGGTGCATTAACAGTGTGTTTACAAACGAGTAAAAACGACGATATCGGCGACTTCCACCGGACTTGGGTCTACAATGGCAGCCAGCGATTCTGCAGGCGATGATTCTTTGTATCCCATCGCCGTTCTCATTGACGAGCTCAAAAATGAAGATGTCCAAGTAGGTTTTCATCCAGATATTGAAAGAATCGATTTCATATGAATTTTATAGTATTTACAGCTGTGAGAAAACACATTTTGGAGGGCTAATTTCAAAGCATTGGGATCTATTGTAAATGACATCATTCTGTCAAAACTAAAATTTCTGGATCTCAATTTCTTGGGAAAAGAACAGCCAAATTGATTTGAATGCAATAAATGGTGAATTCATGCAGGATTTGATTTTAATTCCTTAATCTCAAATAACCATTTTGAGATCACCATTTACTTTCTATCCCCAAGTTCAGTCTGGTTCAATTTAATATTTAATTTCATGAAATCTTGAAAATAACTATGCACTAGTCATTCATTCAGATATTCTTACATTGGCACTATCCAGAACAGGTGGTTACATCAATCCAATTCATGTGATCTCTCTTTTTGAATTGTTCTAAAAATTGTTCTATCAGTCATTTGGTTATTATTATAAATTTGTATAAAATCATTCTTCATTGTTGTATGTATAATTTGCATGGTTAGTGACTAATATTGATATGAATGCTATTTGCAGTTAAGGCTTAATTCAATCAAGAAACTATCCACAATTGCTTTAGCATTGGGAGTTGAACGAACTAGAACAGAATTGATCCCCTTTCTCACTGAAACAATATATGATGAAGATGAAGTTCTGCTAGCTCTAGCTGAGCAATTAGGACAATTCATAACACTGGTGGGTGGGCCAGAGTATGCTTTCTACCTGCTACCACCCTTGGAGAGCTTGGCAACAGTTGAAGAAACAGTTGTAAGAGACAAAGCTGTTGAATCTTTAAGAATAGTAGCACAACAGCACAGCCCTACTGATTTGGAGTCACATTTTGTCCCATTGGTACAAAGATTAGCTGCTGGGGATTGGTTTACCACTAGGACTTCTGCATGTGGTTTGTTTTCTGTAAGTATCATATCATGAGACTAATCACTATGGTGTAGCTAGTCAAAACTCATGGAATTGGCAATCAATTGACAATCAATTATCAAAAAAGCTGCTACATTGTTAGATATCTGAATTATCAAATTTGAAAATAGTTTAAATGGGAGACATTTGTTTTAATGAAAATTGAAATACATGTCTAAAATGGAATTGATTATCCCATCTGCCATTTTTATGCAAAATATTAAAATATTTCCTTAATTCATCAAGAAATTATGACTCATATTCTGATGAAAAACAACTGAATAGTGTTTGCATTAGGGATGCACAGAAGTTTTGCTTCTGTATTCAGCTGATCTCAATCTCAATAATTGTCATGTCCTACAAAAGTTTTTAAAAATTTGTTTTTCAAAAAAAGTAGTCTTGGAATTTTTTCCAGCAAAAAATTGTGACATATATACAGATAATAAAAATGGGAGTTTTTGTTCATAAACTACCCTCAGAGGAATAAATTTATTTGAAGATACTAATAAAGCTAGCAAAGCCACATGAATCTCAACATGAGACCTATCATCAAATGATTTTAGGCTCATTTTAGGTTAATCTATTACCCATTCCCAAATGTTTTGCTTCCTTCAATAATTAAAAAAATCTGTAGCTTTGCTAGCTTTAGCAGAACCCAGCAAAGCAATTTTTGAAAAACAATATTTTTTGAAGATTTGATATTATAGTGAAATTGAAGTGCTTTTTTAGGCTAATTTATTATGCTATTCCCAAACATTTTACCTCTCTATCATAGAAAAATCTGTGGCTTTGCTAGTTTCTGAGAGCCATTTTTGAGAACATTGATTTTTCACAGATTTTATATATTGAGATTGAATGGAAAAAAAAACTATACAATTTGTCAAAATACACATTATTCACTAGGCATTATGCATCTCTATCAAAAGCATATTGTATGGTGATTTTATGAGGCACAGCAATAGTATTGATTGTAAGCTCAATAACTATCCCATTTTGAAATTTGTTGCTGCATATTTCTTGTAAGAAACCTGTGTGTGGCTTTGCCAGGTGAACTCTGCACAGCCATTTTTGAAAATATTATATTTCTTTTCCATTCTATACATTGGGATTTCTAGGCTAATTTTCAGCTAATTATATAATTATCCTATTTTCATATTTTTCAATCTACTATTTGAAAAAACCAATTGATTTGTGGATATTCCTGATATTTACTAGGCATTTGCATTTCTTTGAATAGCAGATATTTTGAAGATTTTATGAGGCAAAGCAATAGTATTGATTATAGGCTCAATTAATATCCCATTTTGGAATTTGTTGCTGCATATTTTTTTAAAGAAACCTGTCTTTGCTAAATCTTTCAGCAAACTCAGCAGAAGCATTTTTGAAAAGATTATATCTCTCACTGATTTGAAATATTTGGATTCAAAGGATAATTTTAGGTTAATTAATTACCCACTTTCCAATTTTTTTGCTCAACTTTAAAAAAACCTGCTAAAAGATTTGTGGAACTATGCCTTATCCATATGAAATTCTATCAGAAACAGATTTTTTGGGGCAGAGCAATAGTATTGATTATAGGCTCAATGACTATCCCATTTTGGAATTTTTTGCTGCATATTTTTTAAAAGAAACCTGTGGCTGGTTTAGCTTTGGGCAAACTTAGCAGAGCCATTTTTGAAAAGAATATATTTTTTGCCGATTTGATATATTGGGATTCAAAGGCTAATTTTAGGCTAATCAATATAATTTTTTGGCTCACTATTCAAAAAAAGTAAAATAATTTGTTGAAATATGCATTACTCACTAAAACATGTATTTCTATGAAGAGCATATTAGTAGCATGTAAGTTTAATATAGTGGGCTTTGAAATAAAATTTATATATTGTTCAAGCTCAATGGATATGTTTAGTATTGTTTATTATGGAATGGGCGTGTACACCTTGGTAGAACTTTGAACTCAAACTGGAGAAAGCCATCAATATTGAGCTTATCAAATATCTGGAGAGCTCAGGAATCATCAATGATAGACAATACGGCTTTCGCCACCGAAGATCTACTGGAGATCTACTTGCCTACGTCACCCATTTATGGCAATCTTCAATAGAAAAACACGGGGAATCTCTAGCTGTCGCGTTGGACATATCGAAAGCATTCGACCGTGTTTGGCACGAAGGACTCCTCCACAAACTACCATCATACGGCTTACCACCTCAACTATGCCATCTCTTATCGAGTTTTCTTTCAGGCAGATCGCTTCACGTGGTGGTGGACGGTGTATCGTCTGATACCATTGGCATCAATTCCGGCGTTCCACAAGGATCAATTTTGGCACCAACATTATTCCTGCTTCATATCAATGATCTGTTGGGAGTTACAACTTGCCCCATCCACAGCTTTGCAGATGATAGTACCCTCCATACTGCGTTCTCTTTCAGAATTCCCATTTCTTCCCAGGAAACTAAGCACTCACGGCGCAGGCAGGCTAATGCTGTCAATGAAGATCTTGCTGAAATCACAGCCTGGGGAACGAACAACCTAGTTGAATTCAACGCCACCAAAACTCAAGCCTGCATTTTCTCTAGAAAGGCGGAACTCAGTATGCCCGATATTGTAATGTCTGGCTCCACCATCCCCACCAAGCCCACCATATCTATGCTCGGTATTTCCATCAGCAACACTCTTTCATGGGATAATCATGTCAGATCCAAGCTGCTTCACAAAAACTCGGATTCTTGTTCCGTGCGAAAAGCTACTTTACACCTCAACAGCTTCTCATGATCTACAAAGCGCAGATACGGCCTGTTCTAGAATACTGTTCCCACATATGGGGTTCAGCACCAAAACATACGCTGATGCTCTTAGATTCCATCCAGAGAAGAGCCATTCGCCTGGTGGGTGACGCCACACTCACTCACTCTTTGACATCATTGGAACACCGTAGAAAGGTCGGCGACCTTTCACTTTTCTATCGATACTTCCACGGGAAATGTTCTTCGGAAATCTCTGCAATCATCCCTTCACTAGCAATACCAATCAGACGAACTAGGCAAGCCCAGTCAGCACATCCTTTCGTTGTCAACCTGGAAAGATGTCGAACAGCACTTTATCAAGACTCCTTCATCCATAGAACGGCTAGACTCTGGAATTCATTGCCTGTGGAAGTATTCCCAACAACATATAATCTCCAAAAATTCAAAAAAAATTCCAATACCTACCTCCTGTCCCTATCCTCCCTAGGAACGCACGATGTTCTTTGAACATTATAGGGATTCCCTTTCGTGCGCTCCAATCGATAAAAAAAAAAAAAAAAAAACATGTTTATAATGATCCTTTTATACATAAATGATGATTCATCATCATCATCATCATCAAATATGCTTTATTGTCAGAAGAAATAGTTCTTATCGACAAAATCATTGTATAGGTATTACAAAGTAAAATTTTAAGAATGTTAAAAATATTAAAAATTTTGAAAATATTAGAAACATTGAACAAATTAAAACATTAAAAACATCAAGAACGTTATGGTACAAATACAGACATAATATAATAAAATGTGCAGATTGAGAACATAATTCGATCAAAAAATTAACTGAGAATATTTTATTTTTGGGCATGAATAATAGTACTTTCTGAAAACGGACCCTGACGTGGCTTTGACATGGAACGATGAAAACCGAGCGCCACCTGGTAACATTGATTCCCGCGAATAAGTATATCCATATGTGTCTATTTTGTCATATTAAAATGTTTTCACATGTATTCTTCTCATTTTTATAACTGTTGTTCTGTGGAAAGTGCCATATCCCTTTAAATTGAAGTGGGTGTTAAAACCCTATTTCTATTTTCCATGTACGGCTATGATTGATTTGACAGAAAATGTAACCTGTAAAATCGTATCTTATGTGTCTCACTCAAGCATTGCAATTTAGAAAATATAAAAGGACAAAAGTTCAGCTGTGTCCGAACTTTTATTTACGATACCATCCAGTGACTCTAATTAGAACACCGTAGATAAGTCGGCGATCTCTCACTTTTCTATAAAATCCCTGCTATCATGCCAACGCTAGTTCGTCTGTTGAACGGCAAAGCTTCGAAATTCTTTGCCAATGGAAGTATCCCCAAGAACTTATAACCTCCTAAAGATAAAAAAATTCCATTACCTAACTCCTCTCCCTATCTTCCCTAGTTACGCACGATGTTCTTGGAACGTTATAGGAATTTCCTTTCGTGCGCTCCAAGAGATGAATAAAAAATGATATTCAAACATATTATACCCATGTTTGCCCCAAGAATGATTTATTAATGTATTTCGTAACTGTTCATTAATTGAATAATTTTGATAGCCCTAAGATGGAACCCTGAGGGACTCCACATTTAATATGTGACTGGGAATATGGAATGTCTATTAAGTATTAAATAGAATTCTTAAATGTTGGTTTTTGATTCAGGTATGTTATCCCAGAATTTCTGCTGCTATGAAGGGGGAGTTGAGATCACATTTCCGAGCATTATGTCAAGATGATACTCCTATGGTTCGAAGGGCAGCAGCCACAAAATTGGGTGAATTGGCCCAAGTTGTAGAGTTGGAATATTTGAAATCTGACCTAATACCAATGTTTGTAAATCTGGCCCAAGACGAACAGGTAAAAAAATTAATAAAGGAGCTATGTAATGATTTGTATGTAGAAATTTCAATTTCGTTACAACAACTAGTTGGAAACATAACGGCAAATAATCAAAAGTTCTTATCATCAACACTGCAGATAATTATTGTGGAATTGATAACTCATCCAAGGGTAGCCAGCACATTTTTTGTCTTATTTGATGAAGCAAAAGGTATAGTAATTCTAATACCAATTGGACCAGCATAAAAACATGAAGGCGGCAATTCTCTATAAACTTGCCGCCTTGTCATAAGCGTACGCAATTTCAATGTCATCAATAATTCATTTATTTATTTATTTATTTATTTATTTATTTATTCAAAAGGAATATTATAATTATGTTGATAAGTCTCACATGAAGACTATTCTAACCGAAAAAGAGTACAATGGTCCAAGGCTATTAGACACATTCAGGTGGCATCAATTCATCCTGAAATTACATCACTATCTTTTTATTATTATGTTACTTATTGAATTCACACTTCTGCCGCAAAAATTTATACTTTGACTAATGCTAAAAATTCACAATTCCCAATATTTTTCTGTGTCCGTGTGGCGGTCGGAATAACCACGGTCCTGCCTGTCGTTAGAGTTGAAATTGAAAAAAGTAATTGTTAGTACTTCCTTGCCATTTCATTTGTATTGTTGTTGTTGTTTTTTTAAATCGGATCAAAAATACCGGCGCTATGGCTTGGGGCGCTTTTTGTCAGTCATCCTGTATATGGCAGGATCTGGAAAAGAAATTTTGTTGGCACTTTTTTGTGGAGAAGAAGACCTTTGTCCTTGGTATTGACCAAGATATTTGAACTAGCAGGCATATTATAAAGGACATATTGATATATCCTTTTAAAAATGGTGGAAAAGTTTTGTGATATCATGAGAAACTTAACTGAAACTCCAGCAAAACAAAAAGCGCCCATGGAAGTGTACTTGCTATTTGTTATTTTGAGAAAAAATGACGAAGTATATCCAAAGCAAGCAAATAGCCAATAGTTATACCCAGAATCATTCTTTTAGGATTCCGTAAGGCTTCTTGCAGTTGAGGCATGTGTCAGCATTGCCACATTATTACCCCAAGAGGATACAGAACAGTTGGTAATGCCTACATTACGACAATGTACAGGTGAGAATAAAAAAATCAAATGAATAAATAAATCAATTATGACAACTGTTAGTAGAGCTGTTGAGGACATTGGTGTGGAAGTAATTCTCCCAAAAAGGCATTCTCTATCATTGTATCTCATAATTTCAGGTTAAACGAGTTGAAACTATTTTTCCCAACGCACTACTAATGTTCCACTAACTTCACATAATTCGCGACAGAAGATAACACGTTGTAAAAAAACACGTTGCCCTACCTGGCGGTAACAACTTGAACATTTCTGGGCGGTTTGTTTTGATGATATATGACCAATAAACATTGACAAAAAACAAATGTGAACCAATCAAAACTAAGTAAACTAGCCACTTTGACCGCTTTGAACAACTTCGATAGGTTTTGTAAGCTTATTTTCTATCGTGAATGATTTGAGATATTTTCTGTAAATATCAAGATAGATAGTTGATAGAATTTCGAGCAATATTGAGCACATACTACTTATGTCCCCAAGTGACTTAGAAGGTTGGATAATAATTATTGAATATAGCAACTCTTGTGAAAATGCTGAGATGACATTCATAAAGTGCAGGACACAATATTCTACATGCTCAATCTGTTGCAAATTCTCTGATTGTAAGACAATACTTTTATATCAGCAGGAGAGAAGCATGCAACAGTGATAGCATCAGATGATCCTGATATACATTGCCCGTCTAAAGTCCGTGCCCTCCCTACTAATTTTTGAGCCACCTGGTATATCGCATCGAATTCCGGAGTACTCAAATACAAATAGGAGATGGAAAACTACTTTTTTATGGAAGAATGACAGCTAAAAGTTTTCTGATGATGGCTGGGCGTCTCAAAATATTAACGTTTCAAAAGGAACATTTTAACATTTCAAATCTAACCAAAAACTGGAATTTTCAATAAGTTAAATTTGACATTAAACAAGTTGTCGCCGCGACAACGATTTTTTTCCAAAGCAAACTTGATTGAAAGTAACATTATAGCTTTTGTTCGGGTTTGAAATTACCAAAATGTCACTTTTGAACCGTTGATATTTCGAAAACTATTGTATTCAAATGTGAAGTGTATAAGATAACTTATGAGGAGATTTCAATAATGGAAAAATACATAGTTTGTTCCATTCAAAGAATTGATTCAAGATGCCGCTCAGCCGTCATTGTAAACTTTAACCTGTCATTTTTTCCATAAAAACGTAGGTTTCCATATCCTATTTGAGCTATTTCCATATCCTATTTTGCGAGAACCAGGTGGTTCAAAAATTAGAATAGAGGGAACGGACTTTAGCGTAACCACCGATACAACAAGGCCTGCATGCTCCGTGGGTGACGTTACTTAGTGAGGCCTAACCAGCGGCTCGAAACGACAAGCGCTTATAGCGCTATAAGGCGACCGCGTATTTCGATTTTAGTTTAAGATCATCATTGAGTCGATTTTGCTGTTTTTTGAAGGGCTTCCGGTTAAAAAAGAATGCCAGTCGTCAACTGAGCCCTTCTTCGCACCCCATTCGATTTTATTATGGAAAAACGAAGTTTTAAAAAAGCAAAAACCAGGATAAAACACAAATATCCACCTACAGCAACCCATTCAAATTAAATATATTGGCAAAAATTGTGGTGAAGGTAAACTTCACACCTACTTATACAAGGCCCGCAGAACATAAACTTATCGTGAGATTGATCGAAAGAAAATTGTGGAAAATGTATTTTATTTTGATTGACATGCCGTTTGTTACAATTACCTATATTTATCTTGGAGAATTCCTATTACCTGAAAAAATAACAAGTGAGTGTTTTCAATTTTCTGTTGTTGGATTTTTCACCCAAGTGGATAGTTACACTTGAAACCGTAATTTTTAAGGGTAAAACTGCATTTATCATGCGATGTTTTTTTTTTCGAAAACTTTTTTCGGTACTCACGTATTTTTGTCCGATAAACCGAATTTTATAATGAAAATGTGAACAAACCACTATTTATTGAGATATTTCAAGAAAAAAAAGTTCGAAATTTCGCCTTCTTTCTCCCTTTGTGTTGGGGGCATTTGAAGCTACTTGCTCTCATTTTGTCATTGGACACTATATATACTCATGATGTACTTCGATGGCACATTTTTATATAGAAAATTCAACAGGAAATATGATTTTTATGGCGAATTTTTCATATTTAGTGAACAAGCATTCCAGGTGACGACCATTTAATCAATAGGCAATCAAAATACGAGATGTCAAATGTCAATAGATTGCTTTCGAATGACATTACACACGCCATTATTTTGAATGATATTCTTCCTTCTTTTCACTTAATATGGATTAATCTCAAGAAAATCATATTTATAGTTGAATTATATATGAATTGTCCAATATGATGAAAAAAGAAGGGAAATTTGTTCTAAATGCCATCCAGAAGAAAAAGAAGGTGAAATTTGGAACTTTTTAGTCAAATATCTTCATGATAAATATCATGATGAATGCAGTTTTACCTTTTTAATTAGAGTGTTTGTAGTTCATGTTAATATGATAGTTGCAATTTGATCATTTGAATGAATTCTGCATTCATTGCCACGAGGCAAATAACCGTTTTCAGAAAGAAATTTGAGAATAAGAATTAAAAATGCCCGTTTTTTATGAACATTCAAGAAAATTTCCTCGAATTCAGAGATGATTTTGTTGACTATAATATACGAATACAAAACTAACTGCACAATCAAAGCTTTTCTATTCTTCCTCTACTTATACTTTTTATGAGAGAGTAATTGTCTTCTATTATCAATTCATCATTATAAATTAAGCTCTGTTTACTACTGAACTTAGATGGAGTAAAATCCTCGCGGTGAATTGCATAAATACCCACATTTTCGTTAGCTCCTCGTCCAACGGGAAACTAAAAGCATGAACCTTTGAACCACCCACATAATTCCCCCGACAAAAGGGAACACAACACTTGAAAGGCATTGTTATTTCGCCGATCACAACACAAAATATTTCACAAAACAGTAATTTTTCCGCCATAATAAAATAAAACACTGGCCTATCTTGGAGACGTCACGAGCTGTTTACGTCAGAGTCTGCTGGCCTTGTTGTATCGGTGGTAACGACTTTAGACGGGCACTGTATATGCTCTACTTCACAGTGTGTTGACAACTGTTATTTTGAGGCATTGTCCTAGGGGTGATGAAACACATAAGACGGCCAGTGCTGTAACTTCTGAATCATTCGAGATCGGATTTTGAAATTTGGTGGGTAGCAAGTATACCAAAGTGCTAATTATTTCACCATTACATTTTTTTATCACTTCCGGAGGTAACCCCAACTTTCGATTTTTAAATATTTGTTTATTTTTAAATTCTCGGATTCAGGCGATCGTTTCACTTACACTGGGAACTCTTTCTGATCATAATATCAAAATATACAGGTTCTACTATTCAAAAAACAAAAAATGAGGTTGCTTCCGGTTGAAGCAGATGCGAAAAAATAAATATATTTTGTGTTTTGGCCGGTTTTCGAATTTTCAAATTTGATTTGGGTTTGAAAAATGTTGAATTATGATTTTTGTATAGGACAAGCTGTATATCTTAATATTCTGATCAGAAAAAGTTCCTAGTGTATGTAAAAAGATATCCTAAATACATAAATTAGAAAATATACAGGATATCCTATTTGAAAATTTAAAGTTAGAGTTATTTGCTTGTCAATAAATGAGCAATTTGGTATACTTGCTACCCACCAAATTCCAAAATCCGATCTCGACAGATTGAAAAGGTACAGTACTGGCTGATTATGTGCCCTCCTCTGTATAAATCGCCATAGCCGAGCCTTGTTATGATAATGTTCGTGATTTCAGGAGACACGTCGTGGAGGGTTCGATATATGGTAGCAGACAAATTTTCAGAACTCCAGAAAGCCGTAGGACCCGAAATAACGAAGACAGACTTGGTGCCTGCCTTCCAGAGCCTACTGAAAGACACAGAAGCGGAAGTTAGAGCGGCCGCCGCCAACAAAGTGAAAGATTTCTGCCAGAACCTAGACAAGGCGCACCAAGAAAACATCATAATGACAAATATACTACCCTGCGTCAAAGAGTTGGTCGCCGATCCCAATCAACACGTCAAATCGGCTCTGGCTTCAGTTATCATGGGATTGAGTCCCATTTTAGGTAGATCTCCAGGAGGGGTTTAACCTTATGAGCGATAATTGGTGAAACAAGGAACGGCATTTTCTAGTTGTGGAAAGTTGGATCTAGGCATCTCTCGGAGTACTTTTTCAGAATTTTGAATAAAAATGGTCGAAACAAATTTCATAAATGGACCCCGCACCGCAACAGGGGGGAAAGTGGCTTTCGGTGAATTTGCTGGAGAATTTTCAATATATTTTAGAATTCGTGATGCCGATCAGATGTCCCAATTATCAACGCTCTAAACTCAATAGTTTGGATTATATGGGATGTTGAAGTTGACTACCAAATCCTAATAGACTACGTTTTCTTTGTTCATGTGGCCGGTGAAAATCCTCTATAGAGTTCAATGAAAAATAGCAAATGTTCCAATTATTTTCGAAAAAGTGAGCGGCGGAATTTCATTTATTTTTAGACATCATTATAGTATACTAATATCAACATTGATTCAAGATCAACATGTTTTAGTTTCCATGACACCGCACTTGTCCTGCTATTCAGTATTCATATCCATCACATGATAATCCCGTAAAACTTGGCTTCGCTTTCGGTGAATTTGCTCGAAATTTCGATATATTTTTCAATTCGTGATGCTGGTCAGTATCCGAAACATCAACGCTCTAAATTCAATAGTTTGGACTATACGGGGTGCTGAAGTTGACTACCAAACCATAATCGACTACAGTTTCTTTGTTCATGTGGCCGGTGAAAATGAAAAAGTGAGCGGTGGAAATTCATTGATTCAAGGTAATTGCATCTATACGGTGTGCTGAAGTTGACTACCAAAACATAATCGACTACAGTTTCTTTGTTCATGTGGCCGGTGAAAATGAAAAAGTGAGCGGTGGAAATTCTTTTTTTTTTTGGACATCTTGTAGTATACTAATATCAACATTGATTCAAGATAATTGCATCTATACGGGGTGCTGAAGTTTACTACCAAAACATAATCGGCTACAGTTTCTTTGTTCATGTGGCCGGTGAAAATGAAGAAGTGAGCGGTGGAAATTCATTATTTTTGGAAATCTTGTTGTATATTAATATCAACATTGATTCAAGATAATTGCATCTATACGGAGTGCTGAAGTTGACTACCAAAACATAATCGACTACAGTTGCTTTGTTCATGTGGCCGGTGAAAATGAAAAAGTGAGTGGTGGAAATTCATTTTTTTTTGGACATCTTGTAGTATACTAATATCAACATTGATTCAAGATAATTGCATCTATACGGAGTGCTGAAGTTAACTACCAAAACATAATCGACTACAGTTTCGTTGTTCATGTGGCCGGTGAAAATGAAAAAGTGAGCGGTGGAAATTCTTTTTTTTTTTGACATCTTGTGGTATACTAATAGACTGTTGGCCCACGACACAGGGTTTATCGATGTTCTAAGTCGGTATGCCATTTGAGGGACCCACTCACTTAGTCCAAGTTAACAGGAGGGAGTGCCTCGGAGAGTCGCAACCCAGTCCTTGCCCCGGCCCTGACCTCACCTTTCGGTTGGAAAAAAGTTCAGAATTTTTTTTAAGAAGAAGCTCGACAATGAAGTGCAATGATCTTATCTCACGACAATTGGGGCGCTTGCTGGTTTGCATACGCCTAGGTCACTCCCCAAGGGAGGCATACGAACCAGAAGTGGCAATTTCTCAATGTTATAGTCGATGATCGAAGAATGTATGCCCTTCGGCGAAACAATGAATTCTGGCCCATTAATCACTTTCCCGACATTTGCATACGATTCCGGAGAGGGGAGCTCGACTTATTCGAACATCAATTGACTAGACATCTTTCAAATAATCGATGATTTAAGTTCGTATGCAAATCTCTAGACCGATAAACTAGGATATTCTTTATAACTGGATGCTATTTGCATACGAATTCAATGTGAGCATACGTTGTAATAATCGGGCAAACCCGCGCGTGCCTCGGTCCGGCGCGGCGCCCCGCACTGCAGGCCACAGAGGTGCACCGATAGCGAACTAGATAATCGGAAAGTCTCATAATCTCACTTCACATGAAACAGGGTCAAAGATTAACTCCCTGGGAGTGATGGGGATATTCGAAGTCGTAAATTGCAGATATATTTGTATTTACCCATCAGAAGTTTACAGCTCAACAAAATTACATGTGTGAGAGGTTTAGTACCAAGAAATTTTTTTGTGTGATTTCAATTTGAAAAACAGGGCTTTGAAAAGATGATGAAACAAATTGACAACAAGATACTCGCAAGATGATCAAGAGGGATCGTACAGGGAGAAAAGGGGTGGATTATTGCTCATGATCGAAACTCACAATAAATCGAATTGAAATTCTTCCTGGGGCTTATGGGACTGCTTATCATAATACTGGCGTCTGAAAAATATATGAAGTATGTACATTCAGTTTGTTGAATGTTTTTGGTATAGTATGGGGTCCTGAACTTCAATCTACATTTTAGTTTTTCACATAAAAAAAATTATTTGATAATGAGATTATATTAAATGAGAACAACATTATATTTCAATGGAGAAATTATACGTCGTCCTCTCTATCATTATCTTCAGAGTCATCTTCGCTCTCGCTGTCTGAAGATGATTCTTCAGAGTTGTCATCAGAACCTGTTAGTAAGAATATTATATAATTATTGAAAAATATTGGCATGATCGAAAGATATACCTGATACTTTCTCAGTTGAAGTCTCAGAGATTATGATATCACCAACCTCTGCTGGAAGAGCTTCACCAAGGTACTAATGGAAATCGTATCCAAAAAAAGTATCAAGGGCCCAGCCCCCTTCATTATTTTTCATGTAACTGACAATGACATAACTTCATCAAACCCAGTATAGTAGTTGAGTTTAGCGATAAGATTCAAGATTCACACGCTGCACTTATATACAGGGTTACTGGTAATCCGATTCATACCACTGGTAGGGAAGGCAGTAAGAAGTGAATAAATCTGTAATATACATTATACAAAAGTAAATGGTTTTTGAGATATTTGAATATCGGATCTCCGACAAAAGGAAAAAACATTATTGAATGCCTACTAAATCATTACGTGCTACACTCTACCCGACTGCTGCAGCAATCATTGTTCAGATATGAAAATTGTTTCAGCAAAAAAAAAAAAAGGAAATACTTCAAACCCGGGATTCATATTTCTGGCACAATTTGACAATTTGGCGCATGATCGCTATAAGAGTGCTGCGTGTAAATGATATCGCTAGATGCTGTAGAGCTGTATTCGTCATAATAATCTCAACTCGATATTGAGGTAGAGTATAGTGTTTCAGAAAAAAGAAATCAACTACCCAATAGTTCGTTTGTTATGAACAGCCTGTGAATTTTTTGATAACAATGAAAAATCTCTTAGGAAAATCATTTTAATTGGTTTTTGAAATTTTATAATTGATTCAGAAACAACTAAGTTACAATGGGAGATATTTATGGTGAAACACCCTGTACGGAATGTGCAAATTGTATGCAAACCATCATCTCATATATACTTTGTGGTCCACTAACCATGGTCAAAATTTGAACATTTCTTCGATTATCGATTATTTGAAGAATATCCAGTCAAATGATGTTCGAATAAGTCGAGCTCCCCTCTCCGGAATCGTATGCAAATGTAAGGAAACTGATTAATGGGTCCGAATACATTGTTTCGCCAAAGGGCATACATTCTTCGATCATCGACTATATCACTGAAAAATTCCCACTTCCGGTTCGTATGCCGCCCTTGGGGAGTGACCTAGGCGTATGCAAACCGGCAAGCGCCCCAATTCTCGTGAGATAAGATCATTGCACTTCATTACCGAGCTTCTTCTTAAACAAAATTTTGAAATTTTTTCCAACCGAAAGGTGAGGTCAGGGCCGGGGCAAGGACTGGGTTGAGACTCTCCGAGGCACTTCTTATTGTTAACTCGGACTGAGTGAGTGGGTCCCTTAAATGGCATACCGACTTAGAACATCGATAAACCCTGTGTAACGGGCCAACAGTCTATAATATCAACATTTATTCAAGATAATTGCATCTATATGGAGTGCTGAAGTTGACTACCAAAACATAATCGACTACAGTTTCTTTGTTCATGTGGCCGGTGAAAATGAAGAAGTGAGCGGTGGAAATTTTTTTTTTTTTTTGACATCTTGTAGTATACTAATATCAACATTTATTCAAGATAATTGCATCTATACGGAGTGCTGAAGTTGACTACCCAAACATAATCGACTTCAGTTTCTTTGTTCATGTGGCCGGTGAAAATGAAAAAGTGAGCGGTGGAAATTCATTTTTTTTTGGACATCTTGTAGTATACTAATATCAACATTGATTCAAGATAATTGCATCTATACGGAGTGCTGAAGTTGACTACCAAAACATAATCGACTACAGTTTCTTTGTTCATGTGGCCGGTGAAAATGAAAAAGTGAGCGGTGGAAATTCATTTTTTTTGGACATCTTGTAGTATACTAATATCAACATTGATTCAAGATAATTGCATCTATAGGGAGTGCTGAATTTGACTACCAAAACATAATCGGCTACAGTTTCTTTGTTCATGTGGTCGGTGAAAATGAAAAAGTGAGCGGTGGAAATTCATTTTCTTGGACATCTTGTAGTATACTAATATCAACATTGATTCAAGATAATTGCATCTATACGGAGTGCTGAAGTTGACTACCAAAACATAATCGACTACAGTTTCTTTGTTCATGTGGCCGGTGAAAATGAAAAAGTGAGCGGTGGAAATTCATTTTTTTTTGGCATCTTGTAGTATACTAATATCAACATTGATTCAAGATAATTGCATCTCTTGAATCAGACTAACATGTTATACACAACATGTTTTAGTTTCCATGACACTGCACCTGTCCTGCTATTCAGTATTCATATATATCACATGATTGGAATCCCATAAAACTTGGTAAAGAACTTGTTCATTCCTGATGACAATACATTCTGCAAATACCCGAAGTAAACAGGGTGGTTCTGAAAATA